AGCTTCTAAGAATTTGTTGAGGTCAAATTCAGTTTCCTCCCGAGCACGAGGTGAGATCAAGTGAGTGAAAGTGGAAGTGAGCTTAGAGTTGCTGAAAAGTGCTGCATTTGTTTTTCCCTTCACCATTTTCATCTGCTCTCCGAGAGATAGACATTCACTCCACTAAGACCCTCTCCACCCGGACCTTCTCCACCAGGACCCTCTCCTCCAGTCGGTGAGAAGCCGGTGGACCTTTGTTGGCACCGAATATCACACAGCCCTGACTGTGTCCTCGCCTGACACAGTAATGACTTTCTAGCAAACCAATCGCAATTCAACACTTTACAGCAAAATCCTGTGAAGCGCTACGAGATGTCATGCTGACACAGTGCTGCTCTGCACAGAATGCAGATATTTCCAGATTATTCCTGTCTCGTACAGGGATGTCAGCGCTGGGAAACAGAACAGGGTTGAGCAAACCTGAGGCCTTCTTGCTCAACAACAACACATTACAAATGTTTCTCGCCTTTTACGTCGGGAGGACGTCCCAAAGCACTGCACAATCAAGAATATGCAACATGGAGAATCCCACAGAACGTGGAGAATGTCACAGCGAGTGACCCTCTTTTATGAATTTTACTTCATTTATTAGTTGGTTGAAAATAATAATAATTTGGTCACTCAATCCACGACTGTGTGTGGGACACTGTTGTGTGCAATTGGCTGCTGCGTTTCGCCCACAAACACAGAGTCATTACATTTTATAGTGTGTCCTGTGAAGCGCTTTGAGATGTCTCAATGATGTGATAAGGCACTGTATCAAATGTCAGGATTATTAATGTTATTATTATCATTATTATAACCTGACAAACTCCACTGGTGGTGTAGAGGATTTGAGTTAGTTCCTAAATGACCTTTGTCTTGGGGATAGGTATCTATCGCCACCCTGTGGCTGCCATTGGGCACTGCAGCCATCTAACCTTATGGTATAAACACCCAAGTCCCTGCGGACACGCTGCAGGGGTTAATGAGTTAATGGGTCAGGTCTATGACCTTTCGTCAGAAATGGTCTAAACTGGTTTGACGAAAGGTCATAGACCTGAAACGTTAATTCATTTTCCTCTCTCCATGGACAGCGCCTGACCTGCTGTGCGACTTCTGAGCTTATTCCAGATTTCCAGCATCTGCAGTACTTTCTTTGCCTTTTGTTTTCCCAATGCATGAAGCCCACAACAACAATTTGCATTTATATAGTGTCCTTCACTCGGGGCAGCATCTCGGAGCATCTCATTACCTCCAGAGCTAAAAAAAACCCACCCCATTTGTGTTAGGTCAGGGTATCAAGGGATACGGGAAAGGCCAGTACTTGGAGTTGAGGTACAGATCAGTCATTATCTTATAGAATGGTGAAACAGGCTCAGGGGCCTGAATGGCCTACTCCTATTCTTATATTCCCCCCACCCCCCCATCCTGCTCACTATCTGCTGGAGAAAGTATTGGATATTCCAAGTCTCTGTTAATTCAACCCCTCCCTTCTCTTAGCAACATTCCCCACTTCCTACTCCGCACAGTGGGTCCTGTCCTGTGGATACTTGTCCACTTAGTCTATAATCATCCCGATTTCCACCGACCACTCTCCTTACTCAGGTACTCAGGTATCTCAGGCAACATCCGCTGCTTATGTTGACTGTTCCACATCAGTGACACGAAGAAAACACATCTTCTAATCTCCAGGTTTATGATCACGGTTCAAATCAAATGTCCTCCTCGCAAACACATCAATGGCTCTTAACCAGTTTGGATCATGACCTGGATCATGTCTCCTTTTTNCCCTCAAATAAGATCAGTTCTGTGGCCCTTCCTCATGATTCAGAGTCTAAATCCCAGAAATACCCAAGTTTCTCCTTTCTCCGACAGATCAGTGAGGTGAGCATTGGTCAGACTTTGACCGCTGGCTCACAGGATTCCGACTCCTGAGGTTTTTATGGAATCTCTGATCAAACAGCACCACCTTGTGGGTCAAGTGGTTAATTTCTGTTAGTCAATGAACTTGTAATGAAGTCACATCTTATCCAGCGAAAACTGTTGTTGATTAACAACATGGTGTAGTGGGCAGGGTGGGGGACATGGAGCAGGCCAGTGCCCACTGAGCAGACACGTTGGTAACATTTTAAAAAGTCGCAGAGATAGGGAGGAGCAAGACCATGGAGTGGTTTGAAGGTGAGGACGAGGATCTTGGAACTCGATCCACTGGGGGATGTGGAGCCAGTGAGCTTGTGGAGGGAAGAGTTGAGAAAGCTCCCTCTGTACCGTGTGTCCAACACTTCCAGGTCAGCGACAGCATGTGTAAATAGTTGGGATTATAGTATAAGAATCATTAGTATTGATCATGTAGTGAATAGATGAATTAAGTAGAATGAATTAAAGAAATAAAAACTGCCATGTGACACGCACACACCCACCCACAGTCCTAGTAAAGAGACACCGAGCTTGGAGGAGGTCAGTGGAATGCGACCCATGGCCAGGGAAGATCAGGATAGCTGGATCTGGAGGATGGATGGTAGGCCATCTGCGCTTACAAGGACATGTGACCTACAGGCCGGAGAGATAGGAACCCGGGATAACTGGATCAGGAGAATGGATGAGAGACAAACCAGTAATTAAAACTGAGAAGAAACTTAAAGTGAACAGGTCACATGGACAGAGTTAGAAAGGAGGACTGAAACTTCAGGGACATGGAGTCAGGTGGTTTGGTCGGACTGGATAAGGTGGAATAGGAGTATTTTTTTTTGCAGAAGATACGCTACCTGGTACAAGGAGAAATAACTTGAAGATAGGGAAAAAATGCCTGGAAAAAGTGCAGAGAGCGGGAAAGAAGTCATGAAAAAGAGTTAGAACACAGATGGCTGGTGAAAAAGGGTATAAAAATTGATAGCCAAAACTAGTTTTTTAGAGGAGTCTCTGAAGAGCGTCTGAGAAGAGGAAGGGAACAAACCTCTATGGAGAGGATGAAGAGCACCTTTGAGGGATAGAGGACAAGTCCAGCTCTCGCCGGAGTGAACTACCAAGAGATGTTTGCAGCTAGAAGCCAGAGACAGTGTTCAACTTCTGTGCCAGTCTTAGAACTTCGTCACGATTTCCTGCGTGCTCGGTAGTATCTCCTACTTATTCACACACACCCACATACATACAAAACAGTTAGAGATTATTTAGGCACATTTCGTATATCACATAATGTATTTTTTATATATGTTTAGAATTTTAGTATTGAGTGTATCTTGTTAAGATACAGCTTTAGTAACGTCTCTTGTTAAGATAGTGCTTTAGTAATCATTTAAGCGCGACGAGTAATGATAATGCGTCGGGTGTAATGTGATGCTTAGACTTGTGTGGTTTTATAATTGCTAATAAAACGTTTTAATAATATTCTTGGTGTGGTTTCTGACAAACGCTTGAACTCAATTTCACACATGCATTAGAATTAGATCAATCTTCTGGACTAATGTGGTTCAGTGTCACAACACCTGGGTTTATACACTGATGTTGGGGGAGGTTTCAATGCTTCAGACTCTTTAGCACCTGTTTGGTGACAGAGTAACAAGCACCAAAACGAAAAAGACAATTTAAACAATTTTTGACCTCAGTCTTTGTTTAATGTAAAATACAAATTTACAGTAAGGCCAATGGTGACTTATTCAACACGATTTAACCTTGAAAACAGGAGATGGGGGTGGGAGGGTGAGCAGAGAAACCTGATCGAGTGATCAGATCCATGATACCAGGGCATAAAAACAAACTGTAAATCACAGCGAACAGGAAATAAAAAGGTGTCAGTCAGGCTGATCAGGCTATAGCTTTAACAGGTCAAAGCGAATCCATCAAATCACCGTTATCTCAGCAAGTCCGAGTGCATCACAGCCTCTTCTTACTTTCCTGTATGAAGTCTTTACATACAACCCCACCCCCACCAAATCAAACTAACGCTCTGGCTCTGTGTGATGCAAAATACAGGTATTTCTAGGAGCCCTACACAGGGTAGATTGGGAGTAAAAGCTCTGTCTGAACCATCTACTGTAACCACGTGACCAGCTTCACTCCACATGGTGTTCAGTGATCTCTCCGATAGAAACTGAGCCCAGAACAGCATCTCCTCATCTCCCCGAGGATTCTCTCACACAGCTGTGTGCATGACTGACAATGGCTTCACACTATCCACCTTGGCTGCACTCGTCAGCACAAACTGCTCCACTTCAATCACGAAACATCTTTCTTTACCAGTGAGAGACATTTGACGGGATTTTTTCCTCTGTGCGAGGAGCTGGGATTCGCAGTGAGTACGGAAATTCCAGCATCACCATCTAGTTTGGGAGATTTTAAGAGAAAGTGAAAGTGGGTGGGGGGCTGGAGGAGAAAGATGGTGGAAGAGGGCTGAGGAGTGGAACTGACCAGAGCTTTGAGAGGAGAGACAGAAGCTCTCTCAGACAGCCGGCCGGCAAAGGCACCATTAGCTGAATGGCCTCCCCCTGAACTCCCAAAACTTTAAAACATTTTAACGGGACTTAAAAATTGAATGGCTCATTTAAACAGGAAAAATTAAAGGGAATAATAACCGTTTTTAAAAAGCACTTCATTTCATTCACACCCGAGCTGGGAACCTCTCTAAATACAAGATACATAAAGCATTAAAAGTACAAATCTACAAGGCACAGGATAATCAAACCATGGCTCTGTACAAATATACATGATAATTAACAAAACACTTGCGTAACACATAGAAGTAACAGGGTGGGGGAGGGAGAAAGGGGATGGGGGAGAGCGCGTAGATTCACGTATAAAATCTCAGTGGGACAGGGTCAGGTTGGCTGGGAGATTGCCAAGGTCCTGCAGTTACAAGTTGGACATCAACAAAAACATGGAGCCAAACAGGCATTGCAAATCTGGCATTAATATAAAACGTTTGTCTCTCACTGGGGCGGGCGGGGTGGGGGGGTATGTGTGTGGAGAGAAAGAAAGAGGAAGTGTATACACACACACACACAAGGAGAGAGATTTTAAAAAAAAAGTGTACAGCACCTCACGGCTGATCAGGAATCAGTCTAGCTTATTCCATTAATTCCCTGTGTTTTTATAGTCTCTTTTGCCAACGTTGGCTGCTGCTGGTCAGTTAGTTTAAGAACTGCAGGGGGAGGGGGGAAGGTCCGGTGACCACTCACTCAGTGGTCCTAGGGCGAAGACGAGAGGGAATTGATGCACTTTCCACCATCTTGGGCTAGAATGGGGCTGGGTGGTCGGGCCCCGCGTAACTCAGTGATTTGCTCGCTCACTCACAACGTTCTGCAGCCGCTTGAGGAGGACGTCATCGCTGTCCTGACACAGTCGCTTGGCTGGGGAGACTGTCTCGCCCTCCACGCTGAAGCCACGCTTCCTGCCGAGCCTCTCACCCTGCCTGATCATGGTGTTAATATCCCGTAGATTCTGCAGGGAAAACCACGAGAAGAGATGAACAGTCTGAGGAGCGATAACATCAAAATCCAAACTAGAGAACTGTGTGATGTTAACAACATAAGAACATGAGAATTTGCTGGCGAAGGAAGACCAAGGTCCATCTAGTTCACCTTCCACCATCCTGGCAATCGCTTAACATGTCGTGTCCCAAACTATATACTGTATGAATCACATTCAAACCATGGCCTGGATTGATGTTCACAGCCATTCACATGTCTGCACCACTGCTCACTCCCACCATTCTCCTGAACTCTTTCTTCAAGTAACTGGTTGCCACATTTTGCCCACAAAATACAATCACTCCACTGTACAGTATATTCTGTGAAGCACTTTGAGACGTCTCGAAGACGTGATAAGGTGCTATATCAAATGCAAGGATTATTATTATTAAATATCTACCGAATTCTCTTTTAGATGCTATTATGGACCCGGCTTTGAAAGCCATTCGTGTTCAGTGTCAGGGAGCTGTGGGCCCAGGGCTCAAACCAAACCGAGTTCACAACAGAGGCTTTCTCTTTGCAATAAACAACCTTCTCATCACAGCACTGAGACATTTAATGAAACATCTCAGCTCAACACTGAGACCTTCACTATACACCCAGAATACTGCCAGCCAGGCCAGAGTGACAGCTAATCCCAAACAGTGAGGCTCACTCGAGGCTCTCTGCTTACCTTGGCCGGGCTGCGGTGAAACCTGTAGAACATGGCGGAACGTGGCGTCAGGGCCGATCCGTTCTTGTGAGGCGAGATGTAGACCTCGTGCTGCTGCGATATCCGGCGGGGGGAAGCAGGGTGGGGTCTCAGGTTGGGGAAGGGGGAGAGAGGAGGGGCATCCACCTGTCAAAACAAAGATCAGAAAAGCTGTAATGTCAGTCTCCTGGGTCACAACCCCCAGCTCGAGAGTGATACCTCCCTCCCACTGTGACCCGCTAACCCCACATCAATCTGTTCGCACCCTCCACTCAACGGGCTCTGGCCTGCTCCATGTCCCGAGCCTGGCCTGGCCCGACCCACCATCAGCAGTCAGGCCCTCAACCTCTCTGCCTCACCCTCTGGAACTCCCTTCGCCTCGCTCCCTCTTGTCTCCTTGAAGGCCCCACCTCAAGACCCTCCTCTTCGACCTTCGGTCACCCTCCTATTCCCACCCTCCACCCCTACTATCCAGCAACTTGGGACGTCCTCCCGATGTGAAAGGCACTGTGTAAATGTAATGTTATTGTTGTTTACAAATTTCTTCCGAATACAACAAGTTATCTGTAGACGTACCCCACACTCCAGGTTCAAGGTGGAATATTTCAGCGCAAAACACTTGATCCTGTTGACATAGATGGTGTTGTAGAACTTGATGAGATCTCCTCGCTCCACCTCCACCTCTCCAGCCAATGTGGGGAGCCTGGCACCTGTGCAGCTCCCGGCCTCTGCACACAAACGAGAACCATTCTGCACAGCAGCATCGCCACAGCCTGGCTCTATATAAATAGAGAGAGAGAGTTAAAGCATTATTCACTACCCTGAGTCCCCGTCCTACCCACAGCCCTGTTTACAATGATCTCATTTCAAACGTACTCCGCTGGCACCTGTAACTAAAATGTCATTCCTGTGTGTGACCCAGACTCGATTATCTCCTTCAATCCCCACAATTCCCACTCCGCATTACTGGCAGAATTCTGCATCCAAGGAAATCGTCCCTCCTCCCCTCCCCCCCAAAGAGACTTGCCACATAGCGCTCTTGAGAAGCTAACCTGTGTGAAAGGCGCGACATAAATGCAAATTGTTGTTGTGACTCGCTCACCTTCTTGCATTTGTTCATCTCCCAGTGCCTCCGCATCTGGCCTCCTCCCTCCTTTCAGCAGAACGCTTCTGTACACCTGAGTGAAACAAGATTCATCACACTCCAAACTGATAGCTTCTGTACAGCACAGTATCAACAACAACAAGATGACATTTATAGAGCCCCATTCACGTCGGGAGGACGTCCAAAGCGCTGAACAGTCAGGTGTCGGGGCCCGAGCCTGGGGTAGGGATGGCGTAGGGGTGAGGAAGGCAGAGAGGTGGGACGGAGACCAAAGGCACGGTCGAACAGAAGGGTCTTGAGACCGGCCTTGAAGGAGGCGAGGGAGGAAGCGAGGTGAAGGGACCGTGGGATGGAATTCCAGAGTGTGGGGGCAGAGAGGCCACAGATAGTAAGGTGGGTCTGGCGGGAGACATGGAGCAGCCGAAGCCTGATGAACAGAGGGAGTGGGCAGGTTGGTTGGGAGTCAGCAGGTCAGAGAGGTAGGAGGGGGCGAGGCCATGGGTGGCCTTAAAGGTGAGGATGAGGATCTTGAACTCGATCCTCTGGGGGATGGGGAGCCAGTGGAGTCGGGTGAGGGTGGGAGTGATGGGATCGGGTGAGGGTGGGAGTGATGGGGTCACGGATTCTGGTGCGTGAGAGTACACGAGCTGCAGAGTTTTGGATGATCTGCAGGTTGTGAAGGGAAGAGTTGGGAAGGCCGATGAGGAGGGAGTTCCCGTAATCGAGCCTTGAGGTGACGATTGCGTGGGTGAGGGTTTGGGGGCCTGAGGGGTGAGGCAGAGGCGGAGTCTGGCAATGTTGCAGAGGTGGTGGTAGGCAGTGCCGGTTATGGTGCGAATGTGGGGGAGAAAGGACAGTTCAGGGTCAACAAGACCCCCAGGTTCCTGACTGGCTCAGTGAGGTTGAGTGTGCAGCCATGGAGGCTGATGCTGCCAACGCCTGAGGTGGGGAGGCGCTGGCGTGAGCCAATCAGGAGGGCCTCGGTCTTGCTGACGTTGAGTTGGAGAAAGTTGGCCCTCGTCCAGGACTTGATGTCGGACAGGCAGTCGGTCAGGACACCAGCAGTCCTGGAGTTCAGGGTGGAGGCAGAGAGGTAGAGTTGAGTGTCATCCGCATCCATGTGGAAATTTACCCCATGTCTGCAGATGATGTCACCAAGGGGGAGCATGTAGAGGGTGAAGAGGAGGGGACTGAGGACAGAGCCCTGAGGAACACCGCACAAGACGGTGCGGGGGCTGGAGGAGAAGCCATTTACCGCGACTAAGTGGAGGTGGTGTGAAAGGTAGGACCTGAGCCAGTCAAGGACAGAACCTTGAAGGTTGAGGTGGGAGGAGAGGTGGTGGCGGAGGATTGAGTAGTCCATGGTGTCAAAGGCAGCGGAGGGGTCCAGAAGGAGAAGGAGGCAGAGGGAGCCCTGGTCACACATGGTCAGGATGTCGTTTGTGACCTTGACCAGAGCAGTTTCCGTGCTGTGGGCAGCACGGAATCCCGATTGGAGGGGTTCATAGAGGGAGTGAGAGAAGAGGAAAGAGCGAAGCAAGTCAAGTCATGAAGGAAGTACGGGGGTGAGGAGGGTGAGTCCCAGACTTACGTGGCTACTGGCTTGTGGTTGGCTTCTGTAGCACTTCATGATATCTGTGAAAGACTTGTCCTCCTTCGTGATCTGTGAAGGCAAAATCCCAGACTCGTCAAACATAAATATCACAAAAAGGCAAAATACTGCAGAAGCTGGAAATCTGAAATAAGAACAGAAGTAGCTGGGAACTGGCAGGTCAGGCAGCATTTATGAAGAGAGGAAACCTCATGATACCTGACTACTGTACTCTGTCCAGCGCCTTGGGACGTCCTCCCGACGTGAAAGGCTCTATACAAATGTAATCTTGTTGTTGTTGCTGCTGCGTGTTCTCAGCGACTTCCGTTTTTATTTTAAATATCACAGCTCACTGTCAAAGGCAAATCCACCTTACGTTCTCTCTCTCTGCCCTACCTCATTGCACCTTCCCTGTCAATTAGCCTCAATAATAATTAACACTTGCATTTGTTACAGCATCTTATCACGTCGTTCAGACATCTCAAAGCTCCGCACAGAATATACTGTAAAATAGCTTGACTGTGTATTTTGTGGGTGAAATGTTTCAACCAATTGCACACAGTAGTGTCCCACATACAGTCGTAGATTGAGTGACCAAATTATTATTTTTTATTTATTTTTGAAGGGATTATTACACCGGGAAAAGCGATCCGCCAATCGGCAAACAAACGGGTTCCTCCTTACTGCTAGGTAAACAGCTGCGTGTGGAGTAAGGAAACTTGCCAAACATTTCACCCTGCCTGGGAATCAATTGCGGGTCCTCTTACTTGCAAGACGAGCGCTCTAATCAATACACTACAGGACACCTTTCATATTCCTATCTTTTTAAGCGTATGTCAAATTCCCCCCATAAACAATGATGGACTCTGTTTCGACAGATTGTGGCTGGGAATGTCCGAGTAGGTATGGCTGGAGGTGAAGTGCATGTGTACCTTTGCCATGATGTAAACAGCACACAGCAGCAGTTGGTCCAGGTGTCTTCCCACCATCAGATCAGTGCAGTGCACCAGAGAGTGCTCAAAGCATGTCCAGATCTTCCTGCGAAGCTCCGGGGACACCTCCAGCTTCAGGCACAAGTCCCGCAATCGCACACTGGCTAAATGATACACCTATAGTGATCAGTAACATTCTGGGTGTTAGCAAGGACAGTAGACAGAAGAACACAAGCTCGGGCCTTCGGCCTCTCTACCGCAAACTTTGGAACCAACCCACAGTCCCATTGTCTCATTCAAATCCTGTCTAAAGACCATCCTCTTCAACTGCGCCTTCCGCCAACCCTCCTGATCCCAAATCGCCAGCTCGGGTACAAACCCTTGGGATTGTTCAGCACCTTGGGATCCTCCTGACGTGAAAGTTGCTGTGTAAATGTAATTTGTTGTTGTTGTTGTTATAATAATCCTTGCATTTGATATAGCACTTTATCAAAGCTTTTCACAGAATGTACTGTAAGTGAATTGACTGGTCATTTTGTGGGCGAAACGTGGCAGCCAATTGCACACAGCAGTGTCCCACAAACAATCGTGGAATTGAGTGACCAATTTGTTATTTATGTATCTTTTGAAGGAATTATTACCCCCGGAAAAGCGATCCGCCAATCGACTAACAACCGGTAGACAGAGGTGTGTGGAGTGAGGAAACTTGCCCAAAGTTTTTCCCTGCCCGGGAATCAAACCCAGGTCCTCTCACTTGCGAGGCGAGTGCTGTAACCACTGAGCTACAGGACTCTACAGTCCGGTTGTTGTATAAAACACAAATATAGCAGCCTCAACACTTGCCTTGCGGAAAAACAGTGCCAGGGAGCCGGTCTTCTTTGGCTTGCCAGCCGAGGCCTGGGGCTCTGGTGCCATGCGACTAGGCGAGGCCCCGATCAGAGCCTGTGCTGAGAGGGGGGCTGCTTCCTCCGTGCCCACAGCTGGTTGGGTCACATTCACCTGCACCGGGATGAAGGTGATCCCTCCGTTCTCGTTGGTAATCCCTGAAAACACAACCGGAAATCCCTCTCAGTGAGCACAGCACCCGCAGAGCCAAGATCCCTCACCGCTCACTAGTAAAGTGGAGGACTTCAACCTAAACATCGACAACGGCTACAGTCTCTAATATTCCCATTATCTGGAACTCTCTCCCCCAAAAGGCCGTGGATTATGGCTGGATCCATTCACATTTTCGAGACTGAGGTAGGTATAGGCTTGTTAGGTCAGGGTAATAAGGGATACTTGGCAAGGGTGGGTAATTGGAGTTGAGGTACAGATCAGCCGTGATCTTATAGAATGGTGGAACAGGTTCGAGGGGCTGAGTGGCCTACTCCTTTTCCTATGTTGCTAATATCTGTGCCTGTTAAACATCCACTGCAAACCACAAAGCAATAAGCCTACTTCAACAACAACAAGATTACATTTGAATAGAGCCTTTCACGTCGGGAGGACGAACCAAGGCGCTGGACAGAGTACAGTATTTCAGACCCGAGCTGGGGTCGGGGGTTAAGGGAGGGGAGGGGAAGGGGGGACGGCTGATGGCATGGTCGAAGAGGCAAGTCTTGAGGCGGTACTTGAAGGAGGCTGAGGAGGGGCCGAGACGGAGCGATTGGGGATGGAATTCCAGAGGTTGGGGGCAGAGTGGCTGAAGGCTCTCCCGCCAATGGTGGGGCGGGTGGGTCGGGGGACGTGGAGCAGCCAGAGCGGCTGAGCGGAGGGAACATTGGGTTGGTAGGGGGTTAGGAGGTGGCAGAGGTAGGGTGGGGCGAAGCCATAGAGGGCTTTGTAGGTGAGGACCAGGATCTTGAACTGGATCCTCTGAAGGATAGGGAGCCAATGGAGTCGGGCGAGAGTGGGGGAGATGGGGTCACGGAGTTTGGTGCGGGAGAGGACACGGGCTGCAGAGTTCTGGATTATCTGCAGTGTGTGGAGGGAGGAGTTGGGAAGGCTGACAAGCACGGAGTTTGCATAGTCGAACCTGGAGGTGATGAAGGCATGAACAGGAGTTTCAGCGGCCTGAGGGGTGAGGTAGTGGCGGAGTCGGGCGATGTTACGGAGGTGAGGGAAGGCAGAGCGGGTCATGGCTTGAATGTGGGGGAGAAAAGACAGTTGAGGGTCGAACAAGACACCCAGGTTCCTGACTGGCTGGTGAGTTGTAGTGTGCAACCATGGAGGTTGATGTTGCCAGAGCCTGAGGTGCTGAGGCACTGGCGCGAGTCAATCAGGAGGGCCTCAGTCTTGTTCACTTCAACTGTAGGAAATTTGCCCTCATCCAGGACTTGATGTCCGACAGGCAGTCTGTCAGGACAGCAGTGGCCCTGGAGTTGAGGGTGGGGGCAGAAAGATAGAGTTGGGTGTCATCCGTATACATGTGGAAGTTGACCCCATGTCTGCGGATGATGTCACCAAGGGGGAGCAGGTAGATATTAAAGAGGAGACAAGGACAGAGCCCTGGGGGACGCCAGACGTGACAGTGCGGGGGTTGGAGGAGAAACCGTTAAAGGCAACGAAGTGGAGACGGTGAGAGGGATAGGAATCGAACCAGGCAAGGGCAGGTCCGTGAAGATTGAGTAAAGCGGAGAGGCGACATATGGCCAACAAGTCACCCAAACACCACAGCAGGCTGAGATCCAAACAAACACCATTTCAGGACAAATTGAGAGGCATGAACTCACCCTGAACTGGTATGGCCAGCGTCTGGCCATTAGTGGCGGTGACAGTGGCCGTGGCCATGGGTATAACCATGCGGCCTGGGGAGAGGGAGACAGTGTCGCTGACCAGTGTCTGTGTCTGGATGATACGCAGCGTGGTGGGAGCTGAGCTGATCTTGTCCAGAGTCTCCACTGAACTGTCTTCACCGAAGAGACGTCTCTTGGCACTGCCGGCGGTCGGGGAGGTGAAGCGATCGTGTACAGAGAGCGGTGACGCTGGAGGGGGAACATCTGTGGGGAAAGGGATCAATACAGCAATCATTCCCCATCTTAATTCGCCCACAAAATACACAGTGAATCCACTTTACAATAATATTCTGTAAAGCACTTTGAGATGTCTCAATGACAATAACAACTTGTATATGCATTTATATAGCGCCCCTCACGCAGGGTAGCGTCCCAGAGCGCTTATAGCGTGTGATAAAGCGCTATATCAAATGCAAGCATTTTTATTATTATTACAAGGAATGAACTTTGCAATAACAACTCTCTTTCTTCCCCCTACCTTCCTGCTCACCACATACTGTTCTTTACAAAGATCCACCGAGTAACCATTCTGCAGGTCAAATAGTTACTGATTATAGTTTTCCATTGCATTTCCCACAAGTGTAAGGCCAGTCTCAGGTTACACACAGCCCCCACTCATGTCTCTCCAGCTGCCACCTTCCTAGCACATGTACGTGGTATTTAACATTCAGAACTTAAGCTTTTTGTGAGAAAAATCTATTAACATCTTCCTCAGACACGAGTCCTGGAAACAAAGGAATGTGCAGAACTGTGGAACCCCCCACTGCACCACACTCCAGCCAGTTCAGTATTAATTCCCACCTGTCCCAATCTCACATACACCCCTGTCCCCAATCTCTCCGTTGACCCAACACAAAATATTCCACGTGTTAATCGCTCTGCGTAACGTATTTAAGGTTGAACTCTGAATCTCGGTCCAGTCACCCTCCTCCAGAGTAAAACCCAGCACAGGTACAGAGTGTCCCAATTACAGTCCCATTTATTCTCCTTCCTGCTCACAGCTGAATTGATTGTCACGTTGTGTGATGTTCACTCACTGAATCGCGTAGGAGGTAAGGAACCTCACATTCACACCTCTCAGAGCAGAGTTCCCACGGGTCAGCAGGACACACACCAGTTACCAGCCAGGTTCAAACCTTACACATCCTTGCTGTCAAGACCAAGACATTTAGCTCCTGTTAACAGCCTTTCACACAAAGTTACGTTCACATGAGGGGTCTCACCGCGCTTGCTGAAGCTTCCGGCAATGTCAGTCCGAACTTCCTTGACTCGAGGGTGCATGATGGGAGACATCGGCATTGAAGGATGTTGGCTGGGAGCTCCATTCCCGGTCTCGAAGTTAGACGGAAAGGTTACCTGAGGAACACATTGGCAGTTTGATGTCCTGCTACTAAACAAATATAAACTGCCTTTTTCTCGCTCTCCCCTCCCCCCATTTAATAATAAATAATCCTTACATTTGATACAGGAACTTTCACATCGGGAGGACATCCCAAAGTGCTTCAAAGGATTTATTGTAAAGTTTAGTGACTGTGTGTTTTGAGGGCACATAGCAGCCACATTGCTCACGCAAATGTCCCACAAACAGCCATGAAGTGAGCGATCAATTTATATAGGGAAATTTTTCGGCCAAGACATACACATATATTGATCATAAAAAGGCTGACCAGGAAATAAACTTATATTTAATATAGAACTTAATATAAAGCCTCTGGCACAACATCTTTGTGGTGAGAATCAATGTGTGAAAGATGTGTGTGGCCTCAGAGGTTCTTATGAAAACAAAAACAATGTGAAAACATAAGACAGCAGAATGGCCAGGCAAACTGAGGTTTAGGCTCGTGTGGGGAAAGCGCGGCAACCCAACAGTATTGTGAAGTCCTGTAGCTCAGTGGTTAGAGCACTCGCCTCACAAGCAAGAGGACCAGGGTTCAATTCCCGGGCAGGGCAAAATATTGGGCAAGTTTCCTTACTCCACACACCACTGTTTACCTAGCACTAAGTAGGAACCCGGTTATCAATTGATTGGCGGATTGCTTTCCGTGGGTAAAATCAGTGGGTCACTCAATGCACGACTGTTGTGCACAATTGGCTGCTGCGTTACATCCACAAAATACAACCAATCCAGTTTACAGTATATTCTGTGAAGCACTTTGAGACGTTTCAACAATGTGATAAGACGCAAGCCCTCTACGGAGTTGCTCCTTCCTACCTCTGTAACCTATTAACACCATATTAACCTGTCCACTCCCTCTGCTCAGCAAGCTCTGGCCTGCTCCATGTCTCCTGCCTGGTCCACCCCACCATCGGAGGTCGGGCCTTCAACCTCTCTGCCCCCACCCTTTGGAACTCCATCCTACAGTCCCTTCGGCTTATTCCCGCCATTGCCTCCGTCAACACAAGGGAGCAAGGCAAAGGGACACTATATCAAATGCAAGAATTATTATATTATACGGTGAATGGTCACCTCTTCACATGTCGGCACCTGGTTGTCCACTCCCTGCAAACTATCCCAAAGTGCCGAGCCATGGCTCCAGGCGCGACTCTCCAAAATCTGCTCCTCAATATTGTTGAGGTGTTTCACCAGGTCCCGAGACAGCCCGTCCTCAGCCCGAATCAGCACCTCGATCACCTGATTTACCAACAGAAATGGCTTCTGAAATATTTTCAATGGCGGTTCTGGTAAAACACCCAATATAACAGCCCAAAGCAAGGTGAAAAAGATGAACACAATTAAACCCAATTCTCAGTCAAAACATCATAACTGTACACAATTTATTTCCAATAGACTCCAATCGACTTAAGACGGTGATCGTTAAGACAGTATTTGTTGGGGCAGCAATGTCACATTGGTATTTACACAAACTTCAATCTAAAAACATTAGGAGCATTGGTTATCCTCAGTGACAGGAACAACACTCGGTATTGAGGAATGAGATGAGTTTGTGTTGTGTACAGGGGTGGGAAAAGAAAATCATAGAACTTTACAGCACAGAAGGAGGCCATTCAGCCCATCGTGCCTGTGCCAGCTCTTTGAAAGAGCTACCAACTAGTCCCATTCCCCCGCTCTTACCCATAGCTCTGCAAATTTCCTTTTTAAGTAGCTATCCTTGAATCCAAAATCAAGGGAATCCGCTCTGCGGTCACTCCCCCTCCAATTTCCACCCACCCCCCCCACCCCTTCCCTCCCACACTCTGACTCCTACCCATCCTCCCCTACACACCTTCGAACCCGTTTCCCCACCCTCTGTCACCAAACTCATCCTGTCCCTGAAACCCACCACCTGCTCCCTTGACCCCATCCCCACTCCACTCCTTATCTCTCAGCTCCACCTCCTTGCCCCACTTATCACAGACACCATCAACCTGTCCCTCTCCTCTGGCTCTGTTCCCATTCCCCTAAAAACTGCCATCATCACTCCCACTTTGAAAAAACCCTCCCTTGATGCGTCGCAGTTATCAAGCTACCGGCCCACCTCCAACCTCCCCTTCCTGTCCAAGGTCCTGGAACGAGTTGTCGTCTCCCAACTGCGCTCTTTCCTCTCCACCGGTGCATTATTCGAACCGCTTCAGTCGGGTTTCCGTGCTGCCCACCGTCTTCATTTTATTTCCACTAACGGCTTTTCCTCCGGCCCCCGCACTGTCTCGTGCGGTGTCCCTCAGGGGTCTGTCCTCGATCCCCTCCCCTTCAACCTCTATATGCTCCCCCTGTGGTGACATCATCCGCAGACATGGGGTTCACTTCCACATGTATGCGGATGACACCCAACTCTACCTTTCCTCCTCTACCCTCAACTCCACGACCCCCGATGTCCTGACAGCTGACTGTCCGACATCGAGTCCTGGACGAGAGACAACTTTCTTCAGCTCAACGTGCGCAAAACCGAGGCCCTCCTGATTGGCTCACGTCAGCGCCTCCGCACCTCAGGCACTGACACCATCAGCATCCAAGGCCGCACTCTCCACCTCTCAAAGCCATCAGGAACCTCGGCGTTCTGTTCGACCCTGAGCTGTCCTTTCTCCCTCATATCCGCACCACAACTGGCACCGCCTTCCATCACCTCCGGAACATCGCCAGACTACGGCACTACCTCACCCCTCACGCGGCTGAAACTCTGGTCCACGCCTTTATTACCTCAAGGCTGGACTATGGGAACTCTCTCCTCGCCGGCCTTCCCGGCCCTCCCTCCACAAGCTGCAGGTCATTCAGAACTCTGCAGCTCGTGTACTGTCCCGCACTAGGCTCCGGGACCACATCACTCCCACACTCACCCTCACCCTCGCTCGCCTCCACTGGCTCCCCATCCCCCAGAGGATCGAATTCAAGATCCTCATCCTCACCTACAAGGCCATTCACGGCCTCGCTCCCTCCTACCTCTCTGACCTACTATCCCCCTACCTACCTGCCCGTACCCTCCGTTCCTCTGGCTCCGGTCTGCTCCTCATCCCCCGCCCCAACCGCCCTACCATCGGTGGCCGGGCCTTCAGCCTCTCAGCCCCGAGGCTCTGGAACTCCATCCCCCAGTGCCTTCGCCGCTTCCTCCCTTTCCTCCTTCAAGGCCGGTCTCAAGACCTTTCTCTTTGACCGTGCCTTCAGCTCCCCTCTCGACTCTCTACCCCCTCCTCGCTCCTTCCCTTCCCCTCACCCTGATCATTTCCCCCCTCCTCGCTCCCTCCCTTCCCCTCACCCTGACCATTTCCCCCCAATGCTCGGGTCGTGACCCAACTCCCAGCGCCTTGGGACGTCCTCCCTACGTGAAAAGCTCTCTATAAATGGAATCTGGTTGTTGTTGTTGTTGTATCCAACGTAATAAGTTGTTGACTCACCTTGTAGAAGTGAAAGGGTCGGATGTTCAGAACTTCAATAATCCAAGGGAAGGTGCGCTGGGAGCTGTAGGAGGAGAGGATAATCTCCAGGCAACAAGCCATCAGGGAGCGGTGGAAAATATCCTGTTCCAGCAACACCTGGAGCATTAACGCGCTTGTTATAATAATAATCTTTGCATTTGATACAGCACCTTATTATGCTTTCGAGATGTCTCAAAGTGAATTAATTAGATTTTGTTGGTGAAACGCGGCAGCCAATTTGTGTCCCACAAACAGTCGTAGATTGAGTGACCAAAGTATTATTGGTTATTTTTTGAAAGGATTATTACCCCCGGAAAAGCAATCTGCCAATCGACTAACAACCAGGTTTCTACTTACTGCTAGGTAAACAGAGACATGTGGTGTAAGGAAATTTGCCCAACGTTTCGCCCTGCCCGGGAATCAAGTCATTGCTTGCGAGTGCTCTAACCACTGAGCTACAGGACTCCACATTCAGTTCATGTAGCACATTACAGAACAGAATATTCACAAGATTGCAATATGTAAACTCCACTCACGCCAGCTACTTACAGTCACGTCTTTCCCCGGGTTTCTCCAGCTTTCTTGTGTCATCACAGTCTCCAGGATCTTGTAATACAGGATTTCAGCCAGTCGCAGCCTTTTAATGGCAAAATCTGTCGCCAACAAATCAACCACAAAATATACTGTCCATAAAACTATTTCAATGTTGGTCAAAACATAGCCACAAACTGGTTACTGAACATGTTCAGCACCACTTGCTGGGTAGGGGCACTATTCATGATTAAAGTCAATTCACTTTACAGTGTATCCTGTGAAGCTCTTTGAGATGTCTCGAAGACGTGATACGGCCCTGTATCAAATGCAAGGAATATATTAAAAAAAGCAAGGATGATATCAATGAAAATCCCAAAACTAAAGAAAGGAAGGCAATGAAAAAATTTAGCGACCCCAATATTGTCCTCACTTGTTCACTTCCAGCAAGGGAATGTGGGGAAGAGGAGAGAAAAAGAGGTGTTGCCATGAAGGCCGCTTCAAGCCGCTATACTAAACAGATTATTCCTCAACAGAATCTGGGGATCAAACCTGGGGTCTATCCATTCTGCATGGTTCATACAACAACAACAACAACTTGTATTTGTACAGCGCCTTTCATGTTGGGAGGACTTCCCAAGGCGCCAACACACATTGATTAGTTGGCTGAGAAGCTATTGAAATGTTTTACGATATATTGGCACTGGCATTGTGCTCAGGCAACGGGTTGCACTTGGCTCATCTCCTCACCTATATGAGAGCCGGCCTGACGTTCCATGGGCTGGGTATAGTTCTGGCAGAAGGTCTCGCCCATCTCCTTCACCCGAGCAGCAATGCCTTGTGTGGGGTTCCTCAAACATGAGCTGACACCAGGGGGAGAAAGCAGCACAATCAACACATGGAGCTGATTTCTGTAGCTCAATGGTTAGAGCACTTGCCCTGCAAGCAAGAGGACCTAGGTTCGATTCCCGGACAGGGCAAAAGTTGAACAAGTTTTCTTACTCCACACGCTGCTGTTTATCAATAGCAAGTAGGAACCCGGTTGTTAGTCAATTCGCGGATCACTTTTCCGGGGGTAATAAACCCGTCAATAATAAATAAAAATAATAATTTGGTCATTCAATCCACGACTGTTTGTGGGACGCTACTGTGTGCAATTGGCTGCCGCATTTCGCCCACAAAATACACTTTGTAGTATTTTCTGTGAAGCGCTTTGAGATGTCTTGAAGACATGATAAGGTGCGATATCAAATGCAAGGATTATTATTATAAAGGCCGACAATATAAAACCACAATGAATTTTAAACCATGCTAAATGTTATATTCAGTTCAGTGACTCACTAACCCAGACGCCACCTCTCTGCCTCTGACATTTGTGTAGCACTGGAACCAAGCCCGGCATCTCAGCTCTGTGTAGAGAAATCTGACCCTGACACTAACACTCAACGCCGCATTGGTGCCATGTTCTTTTCCCATAGCACCAATGAATCGCTCGGCTCTGCTTACCCAAATATTTGCAGCAGGTGTTCGCTGGGAGCATTCTTGAGCCCCATGAGCATGGTCTGCAGGCGGCTGACACTCTGCGTAGCCGAGGACACGGGGGTCACCATCGGCTCCTTATCCTTCAGGTACCGTCTGCCTGTCAGCGGGGTTGAGGGCGCCAAAGACTTTGTCTGTTACAGATTGCAAACAACATGATTCACTACAATCATACTCACTGAAAATATCCAAATCTACATCCAATTGTCAAGAGTCAAGTCAGAAACTCTCAAATGATTGTTTGGATTTGAACTCTGGCGCCAGCTTGACAACATCCAAATGTGAATTGGAATCTGGCTTCAATCCATCTTAACCCGATTGTCTGAGGTTAACCTCCTCTCAGAGCTGCTGCCAACTTTAACTTAAAGAGATAAAGACCAATATCGATACCCATGGCTACCTGGGCACTGGATAAACATCTCAGAGTTGACAAGAGAGCAACAAGAAGGGAGGAGAGGAAGGAGAGTTTAAGAGCGGTAACGAAAAGCATGCTTAAAGCAATATGGTTTTAGCCAAATAGAATCAAAATGGAGTCCTGTAGCTCAATGGTTAGAGCACTTGCCTCACAAGAGAAAGGACCTGGCTTTGATTCCTGGGAAGGGCAAAACCTTGGGTAAGTTTCCTTACTCCACACTCCTCTGTTTACTTTACAATAAGTAAGGACCCAATTGTTATTCAATTGGCGGATCGCTTTTCTGGGGGAAATAATCCCTTCAAAAAATAATTTGGCCACAATCCACGACTGTTTGTGGGACACTGCTGTGCGCAACTGGCTGCTGCATTTCACCCACAAAATATACAGTCACTACACTTTACAGTATATTCTGTGAAGCTTTTGAGACATCTCGAAGACGTGATAGGGCACCACATCAAATGCAAGGATTATTATTATTAAATATTCAGAAGCACGGCAAAGCACACAGACAGCACCTGAAGAACAATCACCCGACGATGGCTGAGCTCTGAGTTACCTTCTCAAAGTGCTGCTGCAGGTTACATTCAACCTGCATCCTTGCTGACAGTTTTCCGGCTGGAATTTCTGACACAGACTTACGAGGCATCCCGATTTCCTCATCTGCATCTTCTCCAAGAAATATCCGTTCATCAAAATCTCCGACCGTCAACACATACTCCTCGTACTCCCTGTTTATCGCTTTGCTGCACAAAGGACAAGGACGTAAAGAAAGGAGTGAACGACAAGTGTGTGGGTGAATATAAGCTCAGTTGAAGAGAGGTGCACAAGGTTCAGGTTTAATTTACCCACTAAACAGTCAATCCACTTTATAGTATATCCTCTGAAGCGCTTTGAGATGTCTTAGTTATAAGGCGCTATATCAAATGCAAGGATTATTATTAATAATAATTACTTTAGGACGGTGTCGATTTACAACAGCTTTCAGTTTCCTGCCCAATAGTCACTACGCTTCACAAGTAACATGTTACATCAGGAACTTTCGGATACTCTGAGCCGAGAGCCCAGAGTGAGCTACGTCCGGAGTGAGGCGAGGCCAGAGTGTGAGGGAATTTGGTGAGAGTGGGAATTGCTGCTGTGAGTTTTGTGAGAACTGCTATCGTGAGTACATAACCCAATTTGTTGTTGTTGTTATTATTCAAGTCTTGTAGTAGCTGTTGTAGTTGTTTTAAGTCTTGTGTTAGTTAAAATTACTGATACCATTGGTACATTGGTCTTGTGGAGTAACTTTACAGGGAGCAGCTGTAGCCAATTAGGCCTAGCCAATAACAAGTAACTTATTGATTAACTTAACTTATTGATTAATCACTTGATAAGGTGTTAATTTCAAATTACTGCTGAGCAAATCAGAAACGGGTTGCAGCCAGAAAGTAGAAATAGGAGATAGCTGCGAGAGCCTCACTCGAGCTGAGAGTGAGCTATGTCCGGAGTGAGGCGAGAGTGTGAGGGAATTTGGTGAGAGTGGGAATTAGGTGCAGAGGGGGCAGGCTATATATCTTTGTATCTATATAAAGACTGTGAAGATGGTGTGGCAGGTAAACTGCGAGGTCTATCACATGTGGGAGTCGATGGAGGGCGCCTCAAGCCCAGGCGACTTCATCTGCTGCAAGTTTCTGGAAATCAGGGAGCTTCAGCTGAGAGTAGCTGAGCTGGAAGCCCAGGTGCAAACACTGTGCTCCATCAGGGACAGTGAGAGGTTCCTGGACAGTATGGTGGAGGAGACCCTCACTCCCCTAGGACTCAGTGATAGCAACCCATCACTGTATAGGAACCATGAGAGAGGGGTACTGGAACCATCGGGAGGTCAGAGTTCAGGAACAGGACCACTCCCAGAGGAGCCCAACACACAGCCACATGCTAAAAGTGATTGGGTGACAGTGTGACGGGGAAAGAAGAGGGCTTGTGCAAGGCAGAGCACCCCCAACAGAGTACCGGTCTCAAATCAGTACTCAGCATTAGCAATTGAGAGCGTGGAAACCTCCCGTGAGGACAGCAGTGAACATTCTGTCCAACAGGACAGAGGCATGGATCACATGGGCAACACTGTTCTCATAGGGGATTCAACAGTGCGAGGCACTGACAGGATCTTCTGTCATAAGAATTGTGAGGCTAGGATGGTTTGCTGCTCCTTCCTGGTGCGAGGGTAGTGGATGTGTGGACAAGATTTTTCAGGGGGAAGGAGAATGTCCAGAAGTCGTGGTCCATGTGGGGACCCACGATATTGGGAAGAAGAGGGCTGAGATACTCCAGGGCGAGTATCAAAAGTTTTGGGGAACAAACTCAAGGCCAGAACATCCAAGGTGGTGATCTCTGGGTTACTCCCGGTGCCTCAGGCAACGGGGCACCATAATGAAAGGATCAGGCGTATGAACCACTGGCTGGAAAAATGGTCCAGAAAAGGTTTCCGTTTTGTGGACAATTGGGACCACTACAGGGGGAGGTGGGATCATTAACTTGCGGATGGGCGGCACTTAAGCAAGGCAGGGGTTAGCTTCCTGGCCAAGAGATTATCGAATGCTGGGGGGGCTAATTTAAACTAGTGGCGAGGGGGGATGGGTATCCCAGGATAAACAATAGATTAGGGAATAGAGGAAAAAGACAAGTGCGAAATATAGAGCAGGTACATAATAATAATAATAATAATAATAATAATCCTTGCATTTGATATAGCGCTTTTCACGTTGGGAGGACGTCCCAAAGCGCTTCACAGAACACACTGTAAAGTGAATTGACTGTATATTTGTGGGCGAACGCGGCAGCCAATTGCGCACAGCAATGTCCCACAAACAGTCGTAGATTGAAAATGACCAATTTATTATTGATTTTTGTTTTGGAGGGATTATTATTAGGCTCTGTGTGGAGTAAGGAAACTTGCCCAAGGTTTCGCCCTCTGCCTGGAATTGAACTCAGGTCTCTCGCTTGCAAAGCGAGTGCTCTAACCATTGAGCTACAGGACTCCACATGTGGACAATTTCCTCAAATGCATGTACCTAAATGCACGTCGCTTAGGGAATAAGGTTGATGAGCTGCAGGTTCAACTGGCCATAGGGGGTTACGATGTGGTAGCAGTAACTGAGACATGGCTCAAGCCAGGACAGGAATGGGAGATAAATATTCCAGGGTATAATGTGTTCAGGAAGGATAGAGAAGGAAGAAAGGGTGGAATGGTGGCAATATTAGTTAAGGATACAATTGTAGCTGTAGAAAGGGACGAGACTCTAGAGGGCCCGACAACAGAATCGATCTGGTTAGAGGTCAGAAATAGGAAAGGAGTGGTTACACTGATAGGGGTTTACTATAGACCACCAGAGAGCGGAAAGGAGATAGAAGAGCAGATCTGCAACCAGATCATGGACAGATGTAGGGCGAACAGAGTTGTCATAATGGGGGATTTCAATTATCCCAATACAGATTGGCAAAATAGCAGTGTTAAGGGCAAGGCCGGAGAAAGATCCATCAACTGTGTACAGGAAAATTTTCTTGAGCAGTATGTCTCCAGTCCTACAAGGAAGGAAGCATTGCTGGACCTTGTCCTAGGGAATGAAGTAGGTCAGGTTGAACAAGTTTCGGTAGGGGAGCATCTAGGTAACAGTGACCATAATATTATTAGATTACTCATGAACAAGGACAAAGTACAGTCAAGGGTGAACATGCTTGACTGGAAAAGAGCTAATTTTGATGGGCTAAAGAGGGACCCAGAGTTGGTGGACTGGCAAGTAAGAATGGCAGGTAAAATGACTCATGAGCAATGGGAAATCTTCAAAGATACGATAGCTCAGGGTCTAAATAGATATATTCCCACAAAAGGGAAATGTGCGAGAACCAGACCAGCTTGGATGACCAGGGATATTCTGTCTAGGATGAAAAGAAGAAGATGGCGTACGACAATTGGCAGATGCAAGACACTGAGGATAGCAAAGCGCATTATAGAGAATGCAGGAGTGATCTTAAAAGAGCGATAAGACAGACTAAAAGATCGCATGAGAAGAGGTTAGCGGGTAACATAAAGGGGAATCCTAAAATATTTTATAAGCACATAAAGGAAAAAAGGTTAGTTAAAGGTAGGGTGGGGCCAACCAAAGACAATGACGGCAATCTTGTTGTGGAGGCAGAGGCCGTGGCTGATGTACTGAACGAGTACTTTGCATCTGTCTTCACAACGGAAACGGATGCCCCAAATGCCACAGTATTGGATGACAGGGCAGAGGACACAGATCAGATTACTATAGACAGAGAGGAAGTTCTGAAAAGATTGACTGGGCTCAAAATTGATAAGTCACCAGGACCAGATGGGTTTCACCCAAGGTTGCTGTGGGAGATACGGGTTCAAATAGCGGAGGCTTTGGCCATTATATTTCAATCGTCATTGGACACAGGAGTGGTGCCAAGAGACTGGAGAGTGGCTAATGTTACCCCACTCTACAAAAAGGGGCAGAAAGACAAGCCCGGAAATTACAGGCCAGTCAGCCTAACTTTGGTAATAGGAAAGCTACTGGAGACCGTAATCCGGGACAAAATAAATCTCTACTTAGAGGAACACGAGGTAATTAGAGACAGCCAACATGGATTTGTTAAAGGCAAATCTTGCCTAACAAATCTAATAGAATTTTTTGAAGAGGTGACTGCGAGGGTTGATGAGGGAAATGCGGTGGACATTATTTACATGGATTTTAAAAAGGCTTTTGACACAGTACCGCATAAGAGGTTAATAAAAAAACTGGAGGCCCACGATATTAAGGGGACAGTAGCCGTTTGGATTAGGAACTGACTGAGTGACAGAATGCAGAGAGTGGTTAATGGGTGTTCCTCGCAATGGAAGGAGGTGTGCAGCGAGGTCCCCCAGGGATCGGTATTGGGACCACTGCTCTTTCTAATATATATTAATGATCTGGACTTGGGCATTGAGAGCACTATTTCCAAGTTTGCAGATGATACCAAGTTAGGTTGGGTAGTAAATAGTGAAGAAGATTGTGACGACTGCAGGCAGACATACACAGAATGGGGGAATGGGCTGACATGTGGCAGATGGATTTCAATGTAGATAAGTGTGAGGTGATACACTTAGGTAGGAAAAATGATAGGAGGCAATATAGACTTGGGAGCTCAATCTTAAGGGGGTGAACGTACAGAGAGATCTGGGCGTTCAAGTAAGCGAGTCATTGAAGGTGGCAGAGCAGGTAGATAGGGCAGTAAAAAGGGCATTTGGTGTACTGAGCTTCATTAGTAGGGCATAGAGTATAAGAGTAGGGAAGTTATGCTTAATCTGTACAAAACACTGGTTAGGCCTCAGCTGGAGTACTGCGTCCAGTTCTGGGCACCTTACGTCAGGAAGGACATTAAGGCACTGGAAAGAGTGCAGAGGAGATTCACGAGAATGATACCAGGAATGGGGAACCTTAGCTATGAGGACAGGCTGGAAAAGTTAGGACTTTTCCCATTAGAGCAGAGAAGGTTACGCGGGGACCTGATAGAGGTCTTCAAGATCATGAAAGGTTTCGACAGGCGAGATAGGGAAAAGCTGTTTCCGCTGGTAGGTGTGTCTGTGACTCGTGGTCACAGTCTTAAGATATCTACCAAAAGAAGCAGAGAGGAGGTTAGAAGAAATGTTTTCACTCAGCGAGTTGTTAGAATTTGGAATGATCTGCCCGAAAGGGCAGTGAAGTCCGATTCGATAACAGCTTTTAAGAGAGAACTGGATAGGTATCTGTCTTCACAGGTTTGCAGGGTTATGGGGAGAAAGCTGGTGAGTGGGGTTAATAAAAGTCAGTTGCTCTGTCAAAGAGCCGCACAGACTCGATGGGCCGAATGGCCTCCTTCTGTGCCGTAACATTCTATGATTCTATGATATGTTGCTATATGAAGTACAGGCAATATTTCTAATAATCTAATATTTTTAACATTGAAAGACACTAATATTCTCACAATAAGATCCAGAACTCACTTGTTGTCTGTAAAGTTGGCAACATCCAGAAGGCCTACGAGGTACTCACTATTTCCTTTTAAAATCTGCAATCATAATGTGAAGGTCAGCAAGGGGATTCAACACAAGACTATAAAATGCGATAATTCACTGTCAGACACGGAGAGGAAAAATTGTGATCGAGTTCAACTGTGATACGGGACTTGAATTTAAAATCACAAGAATTTGCTGGTGAAAGAAGACCAAGGTCCATCTTGTTCACCTCCACCATCCTCGCAGTTGCTTGACATGTCGGTCTCAAACTATAGATTGTCTCCAGAGATATTATTTTCTAGCAGAAATCTTCTAATTTGTTCTTGAAACAAACAACTTTCTGCTTCTACGTCTCCCATAAGTTTACTACTTGCTCACTGAAGATTGTCTCTGCAGATTGGCCCCTTCAATTACAGGCTGTGCCCTCTGGTTCTACAAGATAGAACAGCTTATCATGGTCTATATTATCTAGTCCTTCACAATCTTAAAGACCACAATCATATCGCCCCTCAACCTTCTCTTCTCCCGTGTGAACATGCCTAGTTTACCTAATCGCTCCTCTAGTCCAGTCCCTCCTTCCCCTCAATCATTTTGGTTGCCAATAGAAATGAACATCAGTAATGGAGAATGTCAGACATTTTTACATTCCTCCTCTTCAAATATTCATCCAACAGCCTTTTGAATCTCATGGTCTAAGCTTCAATGGTCACTTGAGGAGATATGGAGGAATATTCCAAGTTCCAATAACCCTCTATTTGAGACATTTCCTGTCACTCTCAACTCTTTCAGTGATGATCTTAATTTGCTTATTCCTGTCTTTACTTACCTTTCTCTCAAACAACCTCTTAATGTAGGGTTTCCAGTAGTGCTCCTTGATGCCTTTTGCCTCCACCACCAGCCCATCGTGCAGATCACACAGCTTTTTGATGATACAGGGCGGCTGCTCTGGGGGTTTAAAGTTTGTGCTGCTGAAACCATCTGGCAGACCTGTGTAACACATGAATGTGAGAGGTTTATCTGCCCAAGGGTAATTATTCCGTCATCCTCTGTGCTTCACACAGCAAGTTAAATTAGACATTAAAACTGAGATGCCATCAGAATAATGAATAGAGCCAATTGGGATGAATTGGATGATACAGTGGTCTGGAACTCTGCCTTCAGCTCTGAATCCACCTCTGACTGCTGGGTGCAGTCTCCGCTCTCTGCAGGCTGGGGCTGTCTAACATGGAATAGGTTTATGGGGTATCAACTCCTCATTCATCACAAATCAGGAGTTACACGAAAGAAGCCGGCCAATCAATCAACCCTCCTATCTCTAACCCCTGATTCCTGATAGAATCCTTGCAAATCTTCACGGTACCTTCTTCCATAGCTCCCTTTCTACACCAAGGAGCCTGGAAACACAGACAGTACTCCAGCTGTGGTCTAACCAAAGTCTTGTCTCAATATCACATCTGTAGTTCATGTTAACTCAACCCCTCCATTCTAGAAAACTCTTCCTCTATCCCTCTGCTTTGCCTCTTCCTTCCCCGTCTTCAGCAAGTGCCTGAAGCTCTTTGTTCACCTCTCCCCGGCTTGGCGTTGTGCTCTGCCATTGTCAAGCGCCCTGGGACACTACCTTGTGTGAGGGGCAATATATGATTCAAGTTGTTGTTGTTGATTAGATTACTGCCTTGTGTTCTGTCCAGGTAGCCTTTCCTTGGGCCATAGCACCAGCTCTTACCTTCGAAGGCTGGGTTAAGTAGATCTTTTCTGTGAGGGCACAGAAATGCATTCCCAAACACGAGGTCAAGGCAGCACAGCAAGAGGTGGTAAGAATTCACAAGGTCATCGCCGATCATGCGGAAATTGCCTGCAACATGCAACACTGCTTTACAGTATGTACGGACTCACTTTCCATTTAGAGACACAACTCAAACGTTATTTAATTAAGCATTTCCTACGTTGAAAATTCCCGCTTTTCTGAGTCAGCCAGAGCTTCACACTAACAGGCTCAATAGAGACATTCAATGTCAAAGGACACCACAAAATTATGTCAACAGCACCAGTTGATGCAAATGTGATAAAGATTCTTTCAGGAAACATTAACGTGGAATTAAACCATCTTGTCCTCTCCTACGTACGTAAGAGACACCTGAAGCTAAGCAGATGATGAAAGGGTGAATGAGCCTTAAACTGCGAGATTTGTAAACAGTGAATCTGGAATTTGTCATGGATGACCCTCCAGAACCATTTGGCGCCAATCTCAATCTGGGATGAGTGAAAGCCCTGCCTACCTGCACTGTTAATGGACAGTCAGAGAAGAATCGCTCATTCGTTCACACAGTATAAACCTGGACTCCTGCTTGAGGGTATCCTGACACATAACTATAAGACAGCCAATGTAAAAAGTCTTTCTTACCTTTAGTGTAAACAAAGAGAGTCCAGCAGAAGCTGAAGGCATCAGTTACACTGCACGGGAGGCGCCTGCGTCAGAAGCAGTGACAATTAACGAACAATCCTTTTACATTATACAAAATAATACAAACAACAACATTTACACACAGCTTTTCACATTGGGAGGACGTCCCAAAGCGCTGGACAGTCAAGGATTTGGACCCGAGCTGGAGGGTGGAATCAGGAGCAGTAGAGGGCAGGGAGGGTAGGGATAGAAGGGTGACTGAAGGTGCAGTTGAAGCGGAGGGACTGGAGATGTGCCTTGGTGAAGGGTCTGTGAGATGGAGTTGCAGAGGGTAGGGGCAGAGAGGCTGAAGGCCCTACCGCTGATGGTGAGATGGACCGGGTGGGGGACAGAGCAGGCTGGAGCCTGCTGAGTGGAGGGAGCGGACAGGTTGATATGTCATTAGCAGGTCACAGAGGTAGGAAGGAGAAAGGCCATGGAGGGTTTTGAAGGCGAGGATGAGGATTTTGAACTCTATCCTCTGGAGGATGGGGAGCCAGTGGAGCCGGGCATTGATGGGGGTGATATGGTCTGGTGCAGGAGAGGACACAAGCTGCAGAGTTCTGAATGATCTGCAGCTTGTGGAGGGCAGAGTTGGGAAGGCCGACAAGCAATTTAACTTCTAGAGACCCTTCCCCACACCACACCCTCAATGTAGACCACATCAGCACCAACCAATCAATGCACACCGAGCACAGTTTGAATGTTATGATGGATCTCAAGGTTAACTGGTTCAGGAAGAGAGAGAGAGAGAAAGTGTACCTCTGTTTCCTGCCTCTCCGTGGCTGGTCCTCGTGAAGGTTTTGAAACATGTCCAGAAATATAGGTTCAAATTTTTTGAAGATGACTGTGGAAACCTCGAAGTTCCTCTCCAGTTGCTCCACGCGCTCACGGAATTCTAGGGACAGATTGACCATGTCCGCCCATTTCTTCATCTTGCTGAAGAACTGAATGAGGCTATAGGTGGAGGAATCATGGGGAAAAGAGAGATTTAGATCCCTAGAAACCCCAAAATTCACCTGTCTGTCACCACCCTCTCGAACTCTATTCTACAGTCCCTCCACCTCGCCCTCCCTTGCCTCCTTCAAGACCCGTTTCAAGACCCTCCTCTTTGACCGTGCCTTTGGTCACCCTCCTATCCCTACCCTCCCACCTCCTGATCTCAAACAGCAGCTCAGGTGTGGATCCCTGACTGTCCAGCGCCTTGGGACATCCTCCTCACGTGAAAGGCGCTGTACAAATGTCATTTGTTGTTGTTTATAGCCTGCAGTACCATTCTGCCTCAAAATATATTCTGCCTCAACATGAGCGAGTTACCTTAATTTGGATGACCGCAAAATCCTGGTCAGCGAGACGCCGTTTCCTTCCATCATTCCCCTCCCGACTGTCGGTGTGACACTTTTGCGACAGGCCACATACAAGGCACAGGCCAGCCAGTGCAGGCTCTCTCCCTGAAACCATACAAACACACACTTTAACAATAACCAAATTCTTTAATGTAAAACTCAACTATAGCACCTCAATAATAATAATTCTTGCCTTCAATATAGCACCTTAATTATAATAATAATCCTGGCATTTGATATTGCGCTTTATCACATCTTTGAGAGTCTCAAAGAGCTTCATAGAATATACTATAAAGTGAATTGACTGTATATTTTGTGGGTGAAATGTGGCAACCAATAACACAAATGCCATAATATAAATGCTAACGGTATTAGATCAATGCAACCTTAATTTCTAGTCAAATCAGCCTTGGACACCTGATGTGCATGTTGACAATTGAGTTATAGAAAACTGAAATATTTGCTCTGACTTCCAAAGATTAAGTTTTGAGTGGCAGCGTGGATAGTAGTGATTGATACCTCTGATGTCTTGAAAACAAATCATCCTGACTCAGGTGATGGCACTCTCGCCTCTGAATCAAAATATTGCGGGTTACGGTCCACATCAGAACTTTTAACTCCCAGTCTGGGCTGTAATGCAGCCCTGGAGGAGTACTGCATTGTTGGAGATGCTGTCCTTCAGATGAGACTGAGGTCCCTTCTGAGGTCCTGTCTGTCCCTGTTCAGATGCACGTTAAAAATCCCATGACTATGGGAAAAGAGAATGGAGTTTATCCTGCTGGCCTGGACGACAATCCCACAAATAAAATTGATCACTCACTTCATGGCTGTTCGTGGGACACCACTGTGTGCTATGTTTGCCAACAAATGCAGTCACCACACATTCCATTAAAATCCTGTGAAGCATTTTGAGACATCTCAACAACTTGATAAGGCGCTGTATCAGATGCAAGGATTATCATAATAAGAGACCAGAGGAACCAACAAACAAAAAAGAGGGAAACAGAGGAGGGAGTTTAGTGACACAATGGATGGGCTTCACTGCATCACATTTGACAGAAACAAATACTGCTCCCTTCCACGTTCTGTCAAAGGGAAGTCACGTTACAGAGAATTATTCAACAATCATCACTCGCGCACCACAGATTTTTATATTTCTAAATAGATCCTTTCTCACAAGAGCAACTCCACGATGCATCAATCATTTGTTCTCATTTCACACAACAGCTACTTTCTCTAATAGTTTGTAAACGACACTTCACATTTAGAGATTGAGAAAAACACTCTCACTTCCACCTACAGTAAAATCAATTTGTAATACAATAGATCAGGTATTCTTTCTGATAAGCTATTTTGTTCACAATTATTCAATTGTTTAAGCACTCTGAGACGTTACTCCACGTGAAGGACACTCTACAAATGGTTGGAATTAGTCAGCTTGTTTACATTCTCCAAGTTATAGAGTAAATCATTGAGTTTAGGTTGTTCAGTTGTTAGTTCCTAACAACTGGGACAACAAGCGAAACAACAACAACAACAAGATTCCATTTATTGAGCGCCTTTCACGTCGGGAGGACGTCCCAAGGCGCTGTACAGTTGGGTCAGGACCCGAGCATTGGGGGAAATGGTCAGGATGAGGGGAGGGAAGGGAGGGAGCGAGGAGGGGGTAGAGAGTTGAGAGGGGAGCTGAAGGTATGGTCAAAGAGAAAGGTCTTGAGACCGGCCTTGAAGGAGGAAAGGGAGGAAGCGGCGAAGGCACTGGGGATAGAGTTCCAGAGCCTCGGGGCTGAGAGGCTGAAGGCCACCGATGGTAGGGCGATTGGGGCGGGGGATGTGGAGCAGACCGGAGCCAGAGGAACGGAGGGTACGGGCAGGTAGGTAGGGGGATAGTAGGTCAGAGAGGTAGGAGGGAGCGAGGCCGTGAATGGCCTTGTAGGTGAGGATGAGGATCTTGAATTCGATCCTCTGGGGGATGGGGAGCCAGTGGAGGCGAGCGAGGGCGAGGGCGAGGGTGAGGGTGGGAGTGATGTGGTCCCGAAGCCTGGTGCGGGACAGTACACGAGCTGCAGAGTTCTGAATGACCTGCAGTGTGGAGGGAGGGCCGGGAAGGCCGGCGAGGAGAGAGTTCCCATAGTCCAGCCTTGAGGTGATAATGACGTGGACCAGAGTTTCAGCCGCGTGAGGGCTGAGGTAGTGCCGTAGTCTGGCGATGTTCCGGAGGTGATGGAAGGCGGTGCCAGTTGTGGTGCGGATATGAGGGAGAAAGGACAGCTCAGGGTCGAACAGAACACCGAGGTTCCTGATGGCTTTGAGAGGTGGAGAGTGCGGCCTTGGATGCTGATGGTGTCAGTGCCTGAGGTGCGGAGGCGCTGACGTGAGCCAATCAGGAGGGCCTCGGTTTTTCGCACGTTGAGCTGAAGAAAGTTATCTCTCGTCCAGGACTCGATGTCGGACAGGCAGCTGTCAGGACATCGGTGGTCGTGGAGTTGAGGGTAGAGGAGGAAAGGTAGAGTTGGGTGTCATCCGCATACATGTGGAAGTTAACCCCATGTCTGCGGATGATGTCACCACAGGGGGAGCATATAGAGGGTGAAGAGGAGGGGACCGAGGACAGAGCCCTGAGGGACTCCACACGAGACAGTGCGGGGGGTGGAGGAAAAAACATCTGTGGAGACAAAGTGAAGACGGTGGGAGAGGTACGACCTAAACCACTCAAGGACAGGGCCTTGAAGGTTTAGGTGGGAGGACAAGCGGTGGAAAGCACTCACCTCGCAAGCGAGAGCACCTGGGTTTGATTCCTGGCAGGGCGAAACGTTGGGCAGGTTTCCGTACTCCACACGTCTCTGTTTACCGAGCAGTAAGTAGGAACCCGGTTGTTAGTTGATTGGAGGATCGCTTTTCCGGGAATAATAATCCCTCAAAAAAAGATTTGGTCACTCAATCCACTACTGTTTGTGGGACACTGCTGGGTGCAATTGGCTGCCATTTTTTGCCCACAAATATAGTCAATTCATTTTACAGTATATTCTGTGAAGCATCTTTGAGACGCCTAGAAGACATGATACCAACAACCACTTGCATTTATTTAGTGCCGCTCACGCAGGGTAGCATCCCAGAGTGCTCGACAGTGGTGGAGCACGATAAGGCACTATATCAAATGCTAGGATTATTATTATTGTTACCAGGCTATGTAGTTATTGTATGTTATTACCTGGTTGGTCAGCTACCGATTATTATTGCCAGTTGCCTCGTTACCAGTTACTATTACCAACTGCATAGTAACCATGCCTATGCTGTCAAGTCACCAGTTACTATTGCCAGCTGCCTAGTTAGCAGTTACGATGACCCGTTACATTAACTTGTCTACACGTTTCGACCACAAATTACACAGCTGATCCACTTTACATTGTATCCTGTGAAGCGCTTTGAGACATCTCAACGATTTGATAAGGCGCTGTATCAAATGCAAGGACTATTAATATGTTAGTTAATAGTTACTAGCAGGCCAGCTTGTTACTGGTTATTTAACTGGCCGCCTAGTTATAGTAATAGTTATAATAAATCCTTGCATTTGACACAGCGCCTTTCACGTCTTCGAGACGTCACAAAGCGCTTCACAGGATACACTATAAAATGGAGTAACTGGATATTTCATGGGTGAAATGTTGTCAGTTACCAGTACTAGCCCGCTGGTTTAGCTATCATCTGCCTAGTTTACCGTTGCCAGGCCGGCGAGTTACCAGTTACTAGAGTATTGCCGGCGGCAGCTGCTGCTCACCTCCAAGGTGTAGGTAGCCCCGATGCGGCACAGGTTGCCCCAAGCCTCCGCACTTGCCTCCTCGTCCATGTTCAGGTCCTGGCACAGCTTGTCAAAGCTCTCCCGCCGGCGCTCCACACCATCCCGCTGGCTGCTCGGCATGGCGGGGGCGGGGGGCACTGGGGGGGTGGCGCGGGGGAGGGTGGGGACGGTGTGTGTCGGGGCTGCACTCCCAGACTCTGCCCCGCATGAAGGGTACTATATAAATGCAAGTTGTAGTTGCGTGGAGGGAGGGGTGTGAGGGGGTGGGGGGCAGTGCCCGAGGGGGTGGGGGGCAGTGCCCGAGGGGGTGGGGGCAGTGCCCGAGGGGGTGGGGGCAGTGCCCGAGGGGGTGGGGGCAGTGCCCGAGGGGGTGGGGGGAGTGTGTGAGGGGGTTCGTCTCTCCGGGACTCTCGCACTGGTTTAAACCCCCTCAGCGGCGGCCCCACAATGCACCGCGCGCCCTGCCACTGGCGCCAAAACCTGGGCCGCAGCACCGTCCCCCCGGCCCGCGTCCCTCCGCGCCCGACAAATAACACCCTCACTCGCTCCTCGCCCCTTCCCTATGCTTTTGAGTGGGATGCCCCTCCCCCTCCCCCTCCTGTAAACCCGCCGGGCTCGGATCCCAGGAGCTCTCGTTGTGGATGGGTTGTTGATCGGATGGATACAGAGGGTGGCGGCGGGTGAAAGGGCGGCGCCGTTGCGTTGCACGTCGGGAGCTGTAGTTGTCTCGCGCTCAGACACGAGGGGGAACTACAATTCCCACAACGCCCCGCGGCCCCACCTATCCCCACAGGTGTGGCCTCGCTCAGCGCAGCCGCTTCAACACTGTGCCTTCTCATGACAGTCATTCACACTGAGGGCAAATCCATGCACCTTGTGGGGTGAGGGGGTAAATGCATACTATTCCTTGCAGCTGTTATAGCATTTATAACCTTAAATCCTTCTCAGTGCATTTCAATGTCATTGCTGTAACCAGTAATAATAATAAGAATCCTGGCATTTCATATAGCGCCTTATTCCCATTTGTTGAGACATCTCAAAGCGCTTCATGGAATATATTGTAAAGTGAATTGACTAATGTTTTGTAGGGGCAATGCAGCAAACAATTGCGCACAGCCTTGTCCCACAGACAGTCATGGATTGAGTGACCACATTAAGTGTACTAACTATTTGTAGATAAAATCCCACAAACAGCCATGAAGTTAGTGGCCATTTATGCAGATGACTATTGGCCACTACACCACCAGAATTCTCTTCTTTTTCCAAATGTCACAGCACCTTTAACGTCCACCTGAACAAGACTGATTTATAGGCAAATGTATCAAATGCAAGGATTTTTTTTACTACAACTACATTTAACGGGAAATTCCTTTTTCTTACTTAAACTTAAAAAATAACAAGTAAGGCTGAGCTGGGATAATCGCGCAGTCAGGGAACACCACATATGTTCAGCACCTTACAGAAACATAAAAATACAGTTCACAGAATCAAAATTAGGATTAAATCACACCAAACACAGAATCCACATATTTACCATTTCTGGTGATGGTCCACAGCAATCGTCGCTGCTTACCAACACTGCTGTGAGGGTGAGACACAAGCCAGCAATTCACTAAGAATAAAGTGGTTTGGAGACCAGAAAATAAGAGAAAATCTATTTCTCAACTCAATGGCTCTCGGTTCCAGGGATGCCTTTTCAAGCGAGAACCAGGAAATGTACCTTATGCTATCCCTCCACTCCCATCCATTATACACATCAATGCCGCTCTACGCTCAGTTGTTAATAACATTTTATTGAGGCTTTCCACAAGTCAGGTACAATATTTAGATACAAGAGCAATCGTATCAGTAGATTTGGGGATATTGATACAAAATAGATGAGGTATTTAGTACACAGCATAGTATTGCAACTAAAGTCGAAAAGGACAATGTTTTCTAAGGCTTAGTTTTGAGATAAGGAAAGACAATGGAATGGAGGTAACCAAAGAGCAGAGAAGTCATGCCAGGACACCACTGGCTCAGCGTCACTCAGGCAGAGACACACATGATGCAAGCCATAGGGCAAAGGAAGGGGCTGTGTCACAAGCTCCAAAGACGAGAGGAGACCCCTGATTGAAAGTGGGGAAATACACACACGCACATACCTGAATTCATCCAGTGACAGGATTAGCTGCCTAGCAGGTGGATAGCAAGCGTCTGAACATTCAGTTAATAAGCAGTTAGTTCTCTTCGTAACATAATTTGGGGGGGGGGGGGGGGTGCTGAATTCATCCTGGGAGGAAGAGTAGGAGTCTTGAGACACACAGCTATGAAGACAGGGCTGGGTAGTGCAGCCCGCAAGGGTAAGGGGGTTACCCTGCCCAGCCGAGTCCCAAGGCAGCGCAGTGGGCATTGTCTGTGTCCTCTTCCAGGACACAACTGCTGCTCTCGCCAATTGACCCGGTCAGTAATAAAGAAGTGACCAGGACAGGGCTGGCAGTGCTAGTAAATGTCAGCCGGAACTTGACTCTGGGATCATTTGATTGGAAAAGAACATGGCATCCACATCACTCGGGTATGTTTGCTTATCGCTCTTGCAGCTGGGAACATTTAAACCTCCCAAGAGCTCCGTCAGGAATTAAGACATCTAAAATACATCTAAAAAAAAAGTTACCAACTTCCATTTAGCACTTTATTGATAATTACATTTTTTATTTCTGTTCCCGACACAATGGAGTACAGTGAAAACAAATGTAGTAAAACACAGTGCACAAGTCTTTGCTGAACACTCAGTACCTGGAACCCCTACACACACCCGCCAGTGCAAGCGAGTACTTAAAACTCTCCTACTTCTCGAGCACCCACCCGCTGAATAAGTCACGTGTAAACCATAGAGCTGGCACGAGAAGCTCAGGAAAATTAAGAGTTGTGGATCTCCTGCCAATTGGGTCTCGTCCACACCATCCTTCCACTCGGCCTCCACAGCTCCTCCCTGGCCATTGTGGGGCTCATGAGCCAACAAGACACCAACTAACACAGGAATTGCTGAGGCTTGAATGTCAGGCTCAGTTTGGTTTGGTTGTGTGGTGGGTGCCAGGGGGAGGGGGGAGAAAGAGGGCACCTTTATCAGAGAGAACTTGGTTGATGGAAACCAAACTATTGTATCAGGTTGGCGGGAGGGGAGATTCCATCGGCAGTGATGGGAATAACAGACATGGAGTGTGAGAAAGTTGGTCTGGCTGTAAAGCGTAAACACCTCAGACCCACACAGTGAGACGAGAAAAGGTAAAACCATCATAGATTCTCCCCTCCGCCCCCATGTCCGCCCTCAACATTAGACAATATATTCTCCCCCCCCCCCGCCCAAGAAAAAGTTATTAAAACTGTCCTGTACTTGACCACACGTTGAATAAGCCAAGTGTGTAAACACCGCTTATTGCCTCACATCTGTCCGGAAAATCTCCAACCCCCCCACCCCCAACAACACTTAATAAATGGAACGTGTCAACACAGCTGAAATGTGCTCAACATCTGCAGGTAAAAAGCAGCTCCCAGCTCCCCAGATGTTTCCAGGTCATTTTGTAACACAAACAGCACACACGCACGCATAGAAAACAAATGTCTTGATTGAAATCGATCCCTTTCAACATGAGAATTTTACCGTTTCATTTTAAAATGGTTCCTAATTGATCCCAAATAAAACTGGTTAGAATCGGGAATAAATGGCTTCTTACTTGGAAAAACTGCTCTGTGTGAACCAGTGACCTGTATAGTCTGTACACCTATATATAAATTACACAAAAAGTTTATCTATATATATATATATAAAAAAGGCAAACTAAAAAAAATTAAAAGATAAATAGAGGAAACACACTAATTTCACTCTCCACTGCCATGGTGTTGCGATATCTATTCATCTTTAAAATGTTATTCTACAGTGACCTCAATATAAAACTAAGCTTCACTGAAATGAACGGGGACGTACTTCACACGTTCTTTGTACAACACGGAAACAGCGCTCTAATTTATTGCTATATTTCTCTAAAGAGTCCCTCGGTTTTTAAATAGTGTCAAGTACATTTTTATTTTTAATATTTACAAAAAAAGGTTTGACCTTGTTGCAACACTTTGCCCAAACGCTTTCTCCATTTGTGCTCATTTTCATGTAATTTACTGAGTGCATCTTTCTCCAGGCTCTGTTACCACGGATGGGCTGGGTGGGGAGGGGGTGGGGGACCGCGGGGGAGAGGACTGTGTGTGGGGTGGGAAGCTAATAGTTAAATCAAACCACGATGAAAGGTCATCGACCTGAAATGTAAACTCACTTTCCTCTCTCCATAGATGCTGCCTGACCTGCTGAGGATTCCCAGCGACATCTGTGTTTATTTCAGATTTCCTGCATTTGGAGTATTTTGCCTTTTGTTACTTCAAACCATATGCTTTGGGTTCCAAAAGCTGGAAAGAAATATTGGTTTGCAGCTAAAGAGAAGAATGTGGGGGGGGGGTGGAAAGAGTCCCACCATGGAATTTAATTAAAGATGGAAAGAAAATGTTTTATAAACAAGAGTTGTGAAAACTTTAGTAAGTCTGTTGTTGTACAAATGAAGTGAAGGGAACTTTGTTGGGTTCAAGTGGAAAGACTTTTCCTGCCCTGCAATATTGACAACTCATCAAAGAGCCCCACCTCCACACACAGTATCCGCATCCATGCCCCAACTCCCACAATTCTGACCAGACCAGGAATTAAACACAACAAGGGATGTCACAGTGTCCAGCTGACTGTACTGATCTGCAGGCAGAATGGCCTGTGAAGCTTCTTTGCCTCAAGCGAGGAGCAGGAGATTCAAGAGTGCACAGACATGATCCACATCAATGCCATTTGATGGTCTATCGAGCTACCCTCAGTCGATCCACTCAGCCCCAAGCCCACCCCAGCAATCCCAGATTCCACCCAGCCTCTAAACAAATCCCCACTCCCCCACTCAGTCTCCAAGCCACCCTCACCCAGCCAACAGGGGCCAGTGCTCCAAATATTTTCTCCGCCCTTGCTTACCCCATTTCCCTGCCAGGGGTAAGCACCCGAGGCCTCTGCTGATCAATAGCTGGCCCGTGGAAGTGGAGCCCAGAGGGTTTCTGTGGAAGCTACAAGTCTTTGTGGCTCTTCACAATAACAGTAACAAATATAAAACTGATACTCACCTTCATTTACACATTTAAAATCACAAAACTCTGCCCAGCCATCAGGTCAGTCACAGCCGTCATACGCATCTCCCCCTCCCGTACCCCACCTCACCCCCGAGACACACACACAAACAGGAGCTCCCACAGGACGATGCTCAGACTGCAACATAGAATAGTTACATAGGCTCCCGGCCGCTCGGCTCTCTGTGAACAGGGAGCTATACTGCTGATCCTGGTCAATTGGAGGCTATCGGCACACACAGACGGAGAACAGACAGATCTGGCCACAGGGTGGGGAGTTGGGGAGGAGGGTAATCGGAAATATCTGCCAGCAGTGACCAGGCCAGTACCACGGCAACAGGATAATTCATTCACAGTATTTTATTTTTGAGATTTGCCGGGAACTCGAGGTGGTTCTGTCACCAATGACGCCCCTCACTTCCCCTCTCACTGCTGATGCTGAGGAGACGTTCTCCACTGACGTCCTTGTGCAGAATGTTTTTCCCCGTTGCTCAGCCACCAACACACACAGTGAACATGCAGACCCGCAGCTTGAGCCATGAGCCAGCTCAATTGAGGTGGACACCAGGTGTACACTTTGTGTTTCCCCTTTGAGGCCCAAACAGCACTACTCTCCTGATATGTTCCCAGATTTCTCTGCCCCCTTCCCCACTCTCAATTTTTTTAAAAAAAGAAACATAAGATGAATCTCCCCTCATCCCCCTCCTCTGAGAGTCACCAGCTATGGACCCCGCTCCTCTATTACATCGCTGTTAAAATGAGGAGCTTCAGGTAATTTTATGTTCACATTTTCCATACGATAGTGTCTAAAAACACAGCAACAAACAGCGGGAAGGGACACCAGCCCCTAAGGGACTAGAGAGATGGTAAACTTCCAGCGTTTCATGCACACCAGCCAAACCCTTCAACTCCTCCCTCTACCCCTCAAAGTACATTGTGTAACAGCTTTACTCCAATCTGTGGAAGGCATTAAATATGATCCAACCCCCCTCTCCCTCCCCATGCCCAGCACTCACACACAGCATCTCACTGGCAGGTAAAGGCCACCAGAGCAGGGCTTGGTGTCAGCAACAATCAGTGCCTCACACACTGTTCAAGGGTTAATGTCAGCGAGGACAACATGGTCACCTAGAGATCAAGGGCTCCAAATTCCACCTACTCTTAACCTACGAGACCATTTACGACTTATAACGTCACACAAAACTGTGGGAAATTATCTCAGTTTGGAATCCACATCTCTTTGTTTTTTTAAAAAAAAGCTTCCAAATGAAGACAGAATTTACTTAAAATATTTTCTATAATTCTGCCCTGACTTCAAACTGGAAACTGGCCGACAATCCCTCCACTATACTTTACAGGGAATCCTGTGAAGACGCCCTCCCAACATGAAAGGCACTGTAATCAAATACTAGGAGTACTGTTGTTTAGTGATAACCTATCTCGCTGGCTCAGTCAGTCTAGGGGGATATTCCATGATCTGTGAGTTCACTGAACACAATTCCGTACTGGAGGCAGAAGGGTACAGCCCTCTTTAAATAATAAAAATAATTCTTGCATTTGATATAGCGCCTTACCAAGTCTTACTGTGCCTGTGGAGTAAAGAAACTTGTCCAACGTTTCACCCGGCCCGGGAATCGAACCCAGGTCCTCTCACTTGCGAGGCGAGTGCTCTAACCACTACACTACAGGACTCCAATCCTATAGCTCAGCGGTTAGAGCACCAATCGATTACTTGATTAATCTTTGAAAAATAAGTAGCCTCTTTGACATAACGTTTAATACAATAATAATTTTTGGGGGATTTGTTTTTTTTACAAAAAAAAGCACAACTCTCCATGTACTTCTCTACAGAGTGCTGTGGCCCCACCCTCCCTGCCCCCCAAACCCCCTGCCTTCAACAGCATTATTTCAAATAAAAATAGCAGGACAAGGGACTGTCAGATCTTTATAGTTAGTGATTCGGAATAATATATAATAATAAAAAAAACACACATCAACATGAATAAATAATGCAGAACGAAACAGGACTGACATTTGGACCCGAGTACAATACTCAGAACTTAAGTCTGTTGTGTAACAGTGAAGGTGAATTAAATTCATTTCATTGTGAATTCAGTGTAGGTCCCCTATGGACATGAGACTAACGGGAACCAGGGAGCGCTGGTCAAGCTTGCTCTGGAATTAGAGTAATAAGTAAGCCCCTGGGTAACAGGCCCGTTAGCCCCCCTCTTGCCCCCCCCTTCCCCCTCCTTTTGGGGGCTGAAATGCTAACGGATGGGAGTTAACGCAGTCTGGGTTTGGAGAGGAGGAAAGCAGAGGAGGGAGGATTTCAACAGCTTATAAAAGGCTGGGAGAGGGAAGGGAATTTTGATAGCTTATATATCACATTATCTCAGTCGTCAGGTAATCACAAGAGCGTGGGTGATGTGCTTACAGTTACAGCAACAACCCCCGCACCCCCCCCCCCCACAAACCCACCCCTCCAACTCTGGAAAAGGGGGAATCTCCACCAAGGCAGGAGCACACCTCAACTTCACTCATTTCAGACTCACTTAATAAAGTCATCCTTGGCAATCTCGTTTATATATAAAACGATTTATCTACACAACGCAATTAGAGGAAATTCTAAAAAAAAACAAGTGGCAGAAATGGGTTTCTGGGAATTCTAGTTTTGTGCGTGTTCTCTTTTCCCCAGTGCCCATAAAATGGTCAGAATTACCCCCCCCCCACACCCCTCCAAAAATACCAAGCTTACAGTTGGAAGTAGCTGACATTCCATTCAGATACCTGCTATCCACTTTTGCACTCACAGATTACTCACATACAATTCAGAATCCCCCCCCCACCTTCATCACCCTTCCCTCTCCCCCTCACACACACACACACACACGTTTCTCGCCCGTCTCTGCCTCACTATTTGAAGAGGGAAATTGCAGGAAGCTCAGACAAGAATTTTGGAAGTTTCCATTATAGATTTTGGAGGGAATGTGATGGCTTAGTAATGTGTTGGGGTATGTAATGGAGTGGGGTTGAGGACTGGTACACTGGGGAGGAGGGTGCCCAATGACCAGTACAGACTGCTGGGTGGCACTATGTTTGGGATGACATGTTGTTGGGAATACGGGAATAGACAGAGCTGGAACTGAGGCTCTGAATGGAATCTGCTGGGATTTTGTTTGGAAAAGGTGGGAGTTGGCTCTCAGGCTCACCCAGTGACTGACCCACTGAGGATCAGACCAGGGAGCAGAATGGCAGGTTAGGCTTTGGGGCATGAGCTGGTCAAAGCCAGGCTGAACTCTCCCTCTCTCCCTGACGGTCTGCTGGGTGAGGGCACAGCCACTATGGTGCAGGACTGAGCCACTAAGAGAGGAGGAGAGAGTGTTGGCTCATCAACTGTTATTTCCCATGTCAGACCTGGCACCAACAGCCTCACAACTGGGTTTATTGTTTTTGTTAATAATTTATTTTTTAAAAAGCTGAAAATTTTGCCTCTAGAAACTCGCAGCTGGAATGTTAAACCTCTCCTTCTCTTTCGCATCGACACCGAGATCCATTTGTCACCACAAACACGTTTTGCTTTTCCACATCACTGATTAAGCAAACCCAGGGCTCTGCCCTTGCTTGTGGATACACAACGCGCTGACTGACAGAACTCCTGACCTGATCTGATCCCCCACCCACCCACCCACCCTCAACTACTCCTGTTCACACCTGTGACCGTTTAGAAAAGGCTGTGACCTGAGGAGAGCAACGGTGCCATTAACACACGGCTCACCACAACCGCCCAGACTGCCCATACTCATAAAATTCAAATAAAACTTATAAAACCAAGCATGTGTTTGCTGGGACCCTCGCTCGGTCACCGGGCACCTGTGTGTCACATTCCACCAACGGGGTAAGAGCGCACAGGCCCTCGATACCCCACGTATGGTTAGAGGCTGAACAAGGGTGGGGGAACCCGGTTGTGGGTAGGAAATACTGATGGAAAACTAGAGCAAAAAGGCATCAATCTACATTCAGAGCTCAGCCCTCGAACACAACGCTAATGACCTTACTTCTGATGCTTTGGGGTAAAATGTGCATAATCCTCTCTCTCTGTCACTCACCCCCTCTCTCAAGCCGATCAGCACGCTTCAATTTCCAGGCAAACAACAGAAGTGGCTTTAGTTTTGCATAAGGTAGCCAGTGACCAGCCCACACAGCATTGCCACAGCGTGGGTGGGGGGTGTGAGTGTGGGTGGGGTGTGAGTGAGGTGTGGGTGGGGGTGTGTGAGCTGGGGGAAGAAAGGGGTTCGGAGGAGAGAAGAGTCAGAAATGTGGGGTCAACTTCAAAAAAAATCAAGAAAAAAAAGGAAATACCCTAAAATCGACCGAAAACAGAATTGAAACTCTATTCAGTGTTGTCGGCCAGTCCCTGGGCCGAGTCTCTCTCAGTCCCCTGCACCGCAGGAGAGGTGACGGCTTTCTCTGTGCTGTCCTGGGCGCTCGCCTCCTGCACCTCAGTCCCCACCGGCTCCTCCCTGGCCTTTTTCCGCTTCTTCTTGGGGCTCTCTGCGCTGTCGCCCTCGGCTCGGCCAGCGGGCTGCGGAAAGCTGGTCATGGCCATGCCGATGCCGTGAGGCAGGAACATGGAGGGGTAGATCAATCCGGCCGGCATGCCATGGAGCAGGAAGGGATTGAAGGACAAGGGGTTGCTGGTGGTCACACGGGCTTCGCTAGGGTCAGGGAAGTGCGAGCTGGGGCCAGGCTTGTCCCCCGAAGACCCCTCTTTATGCTTGGCTGGTTCCTCACCCCCCAAATGCTCCTTCGACGCCGCGACGGACCGCAAGGTGCTGAGGGTGGAGGAGCTGGAAGCAGGTGGGTGGGTGCTCAGCAGCCCCCCTACCCCGAACATGTGGGACATGCCGGCCACCCCCATCATGGGCAGCATGCTCAGGCTGTTCTTGGTCTCCTCGCCAGCAGGGATGGCGGCAAAGCCGGCCGGGAAGCCCATGAGGCCGGCCAGCTGCAGGTTGTGAACGTTCCTCAGGCTCTGCAGGTTCACCAGGTCCATTCCGGCGATCAGCCCGTTCATGAAGACTGGCCCCATGGCGGAGGCTGTCTCTGTCAGGCCCACTCCACCCCTGGCCACCTCGCTCCGCGGACGCCGACCCCTCTTCCTGCTCCCAGCCTCTTTCACCACCGGCTCCGTCAGGATACGATTAAACTTGGTTTCTGGCAGAAATCCCTGGAAGCAAAATGTATGCATGTTCAAAAAAAATTCCACAATGTTCACGCACCACAGTCCTGTAGCTCAGGGTTAGAGCACTCGCCTCGCAAGCGAGAGGACCCGGGTTCGATTCCCAGGCGGGGCGAAACCTTAGGCAAATTTCCTTTCTCCACTCACACGCCTGTTTACTAGCAGTGAGTAGGAACCCAGTTGTTACTTCTCTGCCTCAATCCCTCCGCCTTGGCCCCTCCCTCCCTGCCTTCAAATCCTGCCTGAAGACCTTCCTTTTTGATCGCGATTACAGTCCCTCCCTCTTGGTTTGTTGTCAAGACTCCCACCACTGTGAAGCTCTCCGGGACGCTACCCCACCAGAAAGGCACTGTGTGTTGTTGTTGTTTGCCGATTGGCAGATTGTTTTTCCAGGCGTAATACAAGGATTATTATTATTATTATTACCACACAGGCACCCCCATCCCCCCCGTCACTGCCACACTCACCGAGTGCTTGACGATCTCCGCCCACTCCGGTGCCACCGCGTAGTCTGGGTTGCCGTCCAGCCACCGGGCCAGTTCCTTCATCAGCGGAGCCATGGCCCCACCCAACTGAAACACACACACACATCTCATTAGAACACAGCCTGCTCTCATTCAAAACACAAGTCTGTATTTATGTTCCACTGATTTACAGCCCCGACTCCGAGCAGAAACCCAGCACTTGAAGTGAGATTATTCAGCAAGGGAGTGTGTGGGCAATGGAAATCAACCTGCAACCCCCCCACCAAACAGATCCACGGGAGCCTCACTCTTCAATCACTTATTAGTCTTTGCGAGCACACCATTGTTTTGGACCCTCACCAGACCCCCAAACCATCCCCTCCTCCCCGCCTCACCTTCCTGCCGCTTCCCCTGTGGATGACTGGGACCCTTTCCTCCCCGGTCAGTGTGTTGATGTCCAATTTGCTGGGGTCCTTGCACCGATGTCTTCGCTGTTTGGGCCGGTCTGAAATGCCGTGGATAATGGCTGCACAGTTCTGAACAGGAACAAACAAACATAGTACAACGTTATAGCTCCCACCACACAACTCTTCACACACACATAGTCCCATTCTCTCTTCCCCTTCCAACACAGCCCCATCTTTCTCTCCCCCCCCTAACCCCACACACAGCCCCATTCTCTCCCCCCACCCCATACACAGCCCCATTCTCTCTCCCCCCACCCCACACAGTACCATTCCCCCAGATACACACATACACAGCACCATTTCACCCCCCCTCCCCTGCACATAGTCCTCATCACTTTATTCCAGTGTCTCAGCAATTGATTGACCAGATGAAGGTCCAGAATCTGCACAAGAAAACCCAGCTTTCTCGCTCCTCACCACCCACCCCCCGCCCTCAACATTCTCAGCCCCTCAGTATTGGGGGTGCGGGGGCTTACCGGGGTGAAGCTGGACACGTCCATAGTGTATGTGGGATGCTGCCGGAGCCATTCGATCATACTCTTGTTTTTCTGCTCCTCCTCGCTCTGCGCTCGCTGCTTCTCCACCGGCAGCTTGATCATCATCCCCGAGGCGTGACCCACAGTGGAGAACGGCTGCCGCATAACCTCCACCTCCTTAACACAAACCACAACAATAATAATAATCCTGGCATTTGATACAGTGCCTCATGACGTCTTTGAGATGTCTCAAAAGTGCTTCACAGAACATACTATAAAGTGAAATAAAAACAGTAGTTGCTGGGAACACATAGCAGGTCAGGCAGCATCTATGGAGAGAGACAAAAGTGAGTTAACTCCTGCTTGACCTGCTGTGTGTTCCCAGCAACTTCTGTTGTTATTTCAGATTTCCAGCATCTGCAGTATTTTCCCTTTTGTATTCTGCAAAGTGTATTGACTGTATTTTGTGGCAAAATTTATAAACTGTCCTGATCAGTAATAGGATCAATAAACACTCAGATTCTGATTAGATGCCAAATTAATAAATGCTCCGGTCGCAATCAATAAATTGAGCTGAAATTTACTATCAGACTGGCAGGTCGAATAGAGCAGCGAGAAAAAAGAGAGGAGAAAGAGAGAGACAGAGAGGGGATAGAAAGAGTGAAGAGAAAGAAACAAACAGACAGAGAGAGGAGAGAGAGAAAGGGACAAGGAGAGAGAGGAGAAAGAGAGAGAATTAGTTGTAGAAATTCACAACACTCCTCCCATCCTCCCCACCTCAGCAACGTACCAGAGCCTCAGGTTTTTTCTCCTTCATGAACAGGATGTCCAGCCCCTCCACGTTCTTCCTTCGCCCCCTCCTCCTACGAGCGTCTTCGCCCCTCAGAGCCCCGTTGATGACCTGCCCGGTGACGGGGTGGATGAGGCCGGCCTGCAAGATGCCGGCCATGTCTGTGCGGATGGTGCCGGCCGGGTCAAGCGGGGCCAGTTTGGGGCCACTGATGATGACAGGTACGGAGCCCAGTACCTCCTCGGAGGCCTTGGACAGGTCCATGGCGGTGTCCTGCCAGCCGTTCAGAGACAGGTGAGAGCGGCCAGCGAGCAGCCCCACCTCCTCCAGGCTCTTCCTCTTCGCTCCTCGCTCCGTCTCAAACTCGTACTTCCTCCTCCGCCTCCGCTGGTCCCTCGGGAATGCCATGTTCAGCAAACTCTCCTGTTTCCCAAACACAATCACAGTTTATAATAATAATCCTGCATTTGACACAGCTCCTCATCACGTCTTCTCAAAGCGCTTCACAGGATATACTGTAAAGTGAATTGACTGTATATTTTGTGGGTGAAACGCGGCAGCCAATTGTCCACAGCAGCGTCCCACAAACAGTCGTGGATTGAAGTGACCAAATTATCATTATTTTTTATGATTATGTTAATATTTAGGTTTATGCAGTACCTTTCACAGTCGGAGGAAGTTTCAAAAGTCGGGCAGAATATCTGAAAGCTTGCATGTTTGCATGTTGAGGGTGGGGGGGGGGAGTATCAAGCTGGCGATCGCTGAGATTAATGGTCTTGAAAGAACTGGTGCGAAACGGTGACGTGCAGGAGGCACTGAGCCAGTGTTACTTGCCTTGGTGAGCGGGTGAGGGTTGGAGTGTGTGTCAGGGAAGCTCAGCCCCGAGGCGGCCTGTACTGGGATGCTCAGATAGTTGCTGAGGTTCAGGCTGTCGGGTGGGGAGCTCACGGAGTACACCACTCCCTGAGGCTCCAGGTTCTGCTGCTGTGCCGAGGGCCACTTGCCTTTCAGCACCACGTGGCAAATATTGTCGATGCGGTTAATGATAACCCGATCCTGTAACAACAACAACTTGCATTTACACACCTCCACACACAGAATAACATCATAATAATAATCCTGGCATTTGATACACTCTCTGATCACGTCATTTGAGACATCTCAAAGCGCTTCACAAAATATACAGTAAAGTGAATTGACTGCATTTTGTGGCGAAATGCGGCAGCCAATTGTGCACAGGAGTGCTCTCATAACATGTTCAAAGGAGCAAATCCACTGCCATGTGGACCTATTCCCACTCCCCACAGAGACAGCCCACTGGTGTGAGCACTGACCTTCGGCCACTCTGCGGACGAGTACAGTGTCTTCTCCTGTAGGAGCTGAGCAATGGTGGGCTCTCGGGCCTCCTGTACCAGGCAGTCCTGCAGCTCATCCTGTGCAAGGCTGGCTGATGTGTTGCTCTCTTCGTCAAAGCTCTTCAGCGGCAGCACTGTGGGAAGGAGCAGCGAGTGGTCATGTGAGTGAAAGACAAAACACTAACACACACCATCCCCATCACTCTCACCCCCACCTCCCACCCGACATTCACTCTCACACAGTGACCCCCCACCCCATTTCCTAGAGCAATTCACATAAAAGTGTAAATACACAATAACAACAATCCTTGTACTTGATCTAGCGCCTTATCACATCATTGAGACGTCTCAAAGCGCTGCACGCAATACACAACTTGAATCTGGGACACTACCCTGCATGTGGGGGGGATGACCCTGGGTGTTTGTACGCTAGTTGGTGTGGGGAGTGGAGGGGGTGGGGGGGGAGGTGAGGGACTGACCTTCTGGCTGTGACCCGTCCTCTGACTTCTCCTCCGAGTCGCGGGGGCTGCTGACCTCCTTCACGTTGCCCCCCAGACCGCGGCCGAGCTTCAGTTCCTGTTTGATGTGTGTGATGGCGAGGGTGGAAGCGGGGGAGACTGGGTCCTCACTGCCCAGGGAGTGGCTACTCGGGAAGGCTGGCAACGCCGGGTCAGGATTGTCCAGCTCCAGCCGATCACTGCCGGACTCCGACCCTGGCCCAGCCACACTCTGCTCCTCCTCCTCCAGGCTGCTATGCTGGCCTGGCTCACCGCATGGCTCACGGTCTGTGTCGTCAAGAACAGCCGGTGAGGAATCGGAATCGAGCTCCGGCTTGGCTGCTCCCGGCACAATTCCTGGATTGGAATTCCCAGCAGCAGGCCACCCCAGGTTTGGGGATTTGCTCCCTTCCTCCTCCCCGCCGGCAGTGGTTTCCTCACCCGGCTGTGCCGTGTTGGTAGCCGGTGGCGGTGACGCTCGAGAGCAGTCACTCTCTCTGTGCCCGTTCTCGGCTTCCACCTTGGCCCCCAGCTGCTCCACGCTGTCCAGCACCTCCCTCGTGCCACTGGTCACCGCCTCCATTGCCGTCTCCCCGTTGTTCAGGTCCATCTGCGAGTGCCTCACGCCCTCGGCTGGTATCTCTGACATGCTTCCCGGTGATTCGGGACAGGACACAGCTAGCGGGCTTGGGGCAGAGTCGCTGGCCACATCGCTGACTGGCTCACACTGACCGTGGAAGTCCAGGTCACAGCCGGCCACACCGTACTCCGGAGGCTTCTCACAGATCTGAGCTGCCCCTTCCCCCTCGCTCTTGATTTCCAGGCCGGGCTCAGGACACCCGTCTTCCAGCGTCTCGTCCGCCTTCTCCTGCTCGGCGTCTGTCTGCTCCTGGGTGTCCTTATCGCCCAGCGTGGGCACGGTGGAGGCGGGCGAGGCTGACTGGCTGGGGTTGAGCGAGGACTGGCTGTACGGGGCGGGCACGCTATGGTAGTAGGTGTTGCCGTTCTGCACATAATTGCGGTGAGCTTCGCGGAAAGAGAGCTGGTTGTCGTTAAGGATGTAGTAGTCAGTTCGGCTCAGGCCGTGTTTGGCTGCCCCCAGCAGGAGGTCCCGGTCGTGCTTGCTGCACTCCCACCACACCGGCAGGTACAGACTGGGCCGACACAGCTTCAGTCTTTCCTCCATGTGTGGATGACGCAAGACCTGCTCACGCAACTTACGCAGCAGCTCGATACGATACAGTGTCCGTGAGGCACGCTCCTCGGTGATAGGCTCAACAAAGATGCCGGCATCTGAGGGCTCTGCAAATAACATTGAAATATATAAAACTCACACCAGGAATACAATAATAATTAGAATAATAATAACCCTGGCATTTGATATAGCCCCTTATCACATCGTTGAGACGTCTCAAAGCGCTTCACAGGATCTTGACTGTATATTTTTGCGGAAGAAACGCGGCAGCCAATTAATTGCGCACAGCAGTGTCCCACAAACACTCGCCTCACTTGCAAGGCGAGTGCTCTAACCACTGAGCTACAGGACTCCAGAGCACAGGCCGGGTACAGGTCGGAGTTCAGACGGAATGCCAACAGAACGGAATTCTAACCTTTCCTGACTGGCAGCCGGCACACACCCCGGCACATGGCCACAAAACCGTGAAAGTAACGCTCCAGGCTCTGGTCAGTCTTGCGCTCCAGCCGGGCAAAGCTGCGGAATTGGTTCCAGTCAAACAGCTTCTTGTCGGGATCATACACGATGCCAAAGGTGGAGACAACACGATAGAAATCAGTCTGCTCCCGCCTCGTCCACCTACAGCGGGAGAGAAACTTGGTCCTCATACACCACAGTCATAGCAATATCAAAAGGCAAAATAATGCAGATGCTGGAAACTCTGTATAGTCTGATACTAACAGTTCTAATGAAAGGCCATCTACCTAAAACTTTAACTCACTTTCTTCTCTCCATAGATGACCTGCTGAGTGTTCCCAGCCACTTCTGTTTTTAAATCATAGGAATATGATTTGATACAGTGCCTTATTGAGGCACAATGTCTCAATGTCTCAAAGCCCTTCACAAAGTTTATAAAGTTACTGGATTTTGCAGGTGGATGATGTGACAGCCAGGTTACACACAGCAATGTCTCACAAACATCCATGAAGCGAATGACCAATTTTATGTTGGCCAGGGCTCGGGGAGAGAGAAACTCCCTTCTCTTTTCCAACAGTGCCGCAGGAACTTTATAACAGGGCTCGGACAAGACCTCGGTTTAATTTAACGTCTCATCCCAAGGACGATGTCTGCGACAATGCAGCGCTCTCTTCCCCAAGCACCGCGCTGCAGGGACTGTGAGCTCAAAGTCCCGAACTCATCACTAACCTTGCAGGTTCCTAGTGCCTGAAGTGCTACAAACTGACCAGATGTCAACTCGCAACATCCAGAACTAACTGTGGGGAAATTTGGGATGAGGTTAACTGAATAACGGGACAGGACCGTGTGCCAGAGGAAAGAAGGTCACAAGAAACATTAACCATCACCTGCAAACCAGAGTCCCGACAAAGAGCTGAAGTCCACACTCAAACTTCCTTCAGAATTTACTGAGTTTCACCCAAAAGGAAACACCAAAGAGCTGGGGGTGGGGGGAAGATGTCTTACCGCTGTGGGTCCATGGTAACAGCTTCCATCTCGGGGATCCTGCCCCAGATCTCCTCCTGCGGGAACCAGCGCCGCCGGTTATTCCGAGCCAATGACTCCATCCTCACCAGCTCCTTGCGGTTGCAGCGTTGGTAGGTGGTGATGAGCCGCCGGAGCCGGGCTGTGAGCACCGAGGCCACTGGCCACTGTGGTCTATCTGTGTCTGCCCCGTCCTGGGCTGGAGGGAGAGAGCGAGAGGATTGGGAGCTCAGGTTAGCACAAGACCCTGCCCACATCCTCCCCCGCCCCACTGCCCACACCCTTCCACCCCCACCCACTGCCCATTTCCCTCCCCCACCCTACTGTCCGCACCCCTCCCACCCACTGCCCACACGACTCCCACCGTTGCCCACACCCCTCCCATTCTACTGCCCAAACAACCTCCCCCACCACCCCTCCCCCACCCAATGCCCACAACCCTCCCCCCCACTTTGCTCCCCAGCAGTACTCACCTGTAACAGAGTCGTCTCCTTTCTCCATGGTCCCAGACTCTGTGCAGGAGCTGGTGTCCTCCTGTGGGGAAACAGTAAATCTCAGCAATTTCAGAGAAGAGAGTTTGGGGATTAAGACAAGATTTATTCCTTATCCATTATCTCCTCCTTCTCCAGGGACAGCGGTCCCCCAAAGCACCTAGCAACGCCTGGCATCGAGTGGCAGTGCCCCCCACCCACGCTGGGCACAAACAAAGCAAACTATTTGTATTAGCCCAGCAAGCAAACTCAGCAAACTCACATCGGGCTGGTCTTTGAACACTCTGCTCTCGGACTTCAATTCCAACTCGTCGGCTTTGCACAGATCAGCTCTGGAACACATGACAAAGTCAGCAGCTAACCACACACACAGCAGCCAAATCAACAGTGTGAGTGAGAGAGAGAATGAGTTGAATGTGTGAGAGTGCAAGAGCGAGTGAGTGAGAGAGTGGAAGAGAGTGAGTCAGGGAATGGGTGATGGGAGGGAGGGTGGGGGGGAAGGGGGCTAGTTTCTTGCCTCAGGAGCTAGAATTCTTTACAATTGGCTCCCGAAGCCCAAATCATTGACTAGGTGTTGAGAAGTGAGTGATGTGAACATGGGGATGGCACAGACATGATGGTCTCTTTCTGAGCCGGAAATGTCTGTGTCTAAATCTCACAACTGTCTGACTCATCGGGGGGTAATTTCACAGCCCATTGACTAAGCCCTCCCCAACCCCCCACCCATCCGCGTGGTAGAGCCGTTCCCCTTTTACCCCTCAGCCATGTCTGCCGTCAGGTCGATGCCCCCTTGCTCTGCGGCCAGCGACGTCTCGTCAGGCATGCCCACCCGGTCCAGGAAGCACAGGGATGGGTCTGCTCTCATGGCGTTGTACCTCTCATAACCTGGAGAGGAGATTATAGCAATGCGTCAGCCTCAATAATAATAATCCCTGCATTTGATATAGCGCCTTAACACATCGTTGAGACATCTCAAAGCGCTTCACAGCATACGTTATAAAGTGGATTGACTGTGTATTTTGTGGGTAAAACAGGGCAGACAATTTTTTTCTACAGTGCATGGACCAACGACTGAAACATGTGGAAGAATGATGATAATCCTATTTAGGAGTACTTAATTGTGCTGCGCACAGCAGTGCCTCAAATGACCACATTTTTGAAAAATAGAATAAAAATAAAAATATAGAAAAATATATGTAATGGAACCCTGTCACTCCCATTCCTTGAATAAAAAAAATGTTTCTCCCCCCACCCCATCTACAGCCCAGCCGCCAGCCATCCCCAGCCTCAACCCTTGTCCACATCATCTCTGTCTCATCCTGCACTGAGCACACTGCAGGCAGGAGCAGCATTGACATTACCCTTCTGCTGAAATCACAAACCCCTGAGCAGCCTATCACCAGGGTTGGTTTATCAATTAACACCGCCACCAGCGAGCGAGTGAGTTGCTATCTGAAGGCTGGGCAGCGTGGAGACTGACCTTGAGTTGGCTGTAACTTCTCTCTCACCCCCAAACGCAATGTCAATATAAAAGCCCCCTGTCCCGAGCTCACCATGTTTATAGACTCCCATCAACAAGGATTTGTCAGCGTCTCCATCCCACCACTCAACTGGGATGTCTGTGTAATCGGCTTCAGGAATCCACACATCCAGCTTCCTGTGAGAGACAGACAGACAGACTCAATCAGTGACAAAGAGAGAGTGAGAAAAACACTACAAACTTGTGAAAAATCGGTTAATTAGGCAAATTAAAAATTAAAATTTTGATCTGAATCTGGTTGGCTGTGTCCAGCAATCCGGCCCCCGAATCTCAGCGTGGCCTCTGTGGGTCAGCACCAATGGCAGAGAGGGAGGATTTTGCTCCCGTTCTCTTATAATAATCCTTGTGTTTGATACAGTGTCTTATCACATTTTCCGAGCAGCGTCCCACAAACAGCCATGAATTGAGTGACCAAATTATTTTTTTGAAGGAATTATTACCCTGGAAAGCGATCCGCCAATTGACTAACAACCGGGTTCCTACTTACTGCTGGTAAACAGAGACGTGTGGAGTAAGGAAACTTGCCCAACATTTTGCCCTGCAGGGAATCAAACCCAGGTCCTCTGGCTTGTGAGGCGAGTGCTCTAACCACTGATCTACAGGACTCTTACCCGGCGTCGGTTCCCTCCAAAGCCTTGTCCGCGGCTTCTCCCAACACTTCCTGTTTGAGGTAGTACAGCATCCGCACTCTGAGTAGCACCCTGAGAGCAAACCACACACAGATTATTACAGGGAAAGGGAGATGGGACAACCATTGAACCAACATAGACAGTTTAACATCTCAATCACCACCATTGGCGATCGGGCCTACCTCTCTGGTACTACCCTTTGAAGCTCCATCCCACTGTCCCTCAGTCTCGCCCCCTCCCTTGCCTCCTTCAAGGCACATCTCAAGCCCCACTTCTTCGATCGTGTCTTAGGCCACGCTACTACCCCCACCCTCCCTGCCCTCCACCACTCCTGATCCCAGCTCAGGTCCAAATCCCTGACTGTCCAGTGCCTTGGGACGTCCTCCCGATGTGAAGGGCACGGTGTAAATGTCATTTGTTGCTGTTCATCCAGAGAACCAGCTCAGCCCTGGAGTGTCAGCCTAGACCAGGGCGGTCCAACCTTTTGGCTGCTGAGGGCCGGACGGTCTATTTGAGAAACGTCAGGCGGCCCCATAAGCAATAATTTTGTAATAATAATACTCCTTGCATTTGATACAGCGCCTTATCACGTCTTCTATGTGTCTCAAAGCACTTCACAGAATATACTGTAAAGTGACTTGACAGTATATTTTGTGGGTGAAACATGGCAGCCAATTGCACACAGCAGCGTCCCACAAACAGTCATGGATTGAGTGACCACATTATTTTTTGAGTGGGGGAGGTGGGTGGGGTGGGGCAAGTTAAATCTGCTCATGAGCCACCAGATGGGTCCCCTTGGCCTAGACTATGAAGTGAATGTCAGTCTGGTTACCCTGCCCTGCGCACATACTTGTTGCAGTGCTGTTTGAGATGTTTCTTGTAGCCGTCGTCGTGGAACAATACGTCAGGGTTACAGCTGGCCACCCAGTCGGCGTTCTTCACCTCAGGCTGAGAGAGCGGAGTCTTCACTTTCTTTCCTTTCCTCCCCCTGGGCACAGGAGCCGAAAGCCCTGGGGAGAGAGAGGCCAGGCCATCAGTCAGTGCTGCCTCCACTACCTCACCCCACGAGCTTGCTATTCACAGCTCAGACAGGGTGTGTGTGTGTGTGTGTGCGAGGACTCCATCATCAGCGCTTTGGGCATCCTCCCAGTGTGAAAGGCGCTAAACAAACGTAATTTGTTGTTGTTTAATTGTTTTGTGTGTGTTGAGGGGGCGTGAGTGTAGAGGGGAGTTAGAGCCGGAACCCACCCTGCCCACACTAGTTTCCACTTGCTGGTGAGTCCATCACGAGAGACATTAATATAAGACAAACAGAAGCAAATGTGAAGGGAGCCCAGGAGGAACTCGTTCACAGAATATGGAACTCACTGTCCAAAGTCGTGGTGAAGGCAGAGAGCATGAACATATTTAGCTTGGTGAGTACTCAAGGGACAAGAGAACAGAGGGGAATAGGAGAGGCCAATAGAGGGTTGTATGGGCTATAAACATTTCCACAGTCTAGTTGGGCCAAAGGCCCAATTCCATAACGTAATGTGCTGTAAAATTGTGTGTAGATTTCTATGTAACTACACATGCACGCACATACATTCAGACACAGACCCGCACTCAGACGCAGACCCGTACACAGACAGTACCTGAGTGGTTGTGCAGGGCCTGGTTCTGCCCGTCCTTGGTGGGGGTGATGAGGTCCCAGATAAAGCTCTTGATCTTCTCATCACCCTTGTAGTGTTTGAGGCAGTAAACCAGCAGCGTGCGGCAGATAGTCTCCATGTCCTTCTCACTCAGATGCCACTTAAACCGCCCATGTGACAAGATGTCTTTCCACCGGCCCCAGCTGGGAGATAAACCATCAGTCAGTCAGTCCCTCATCCCTTGTCTTAGATAAATAATTTGTTTTTAATAATTTGTATTAATAAATCGGTCACTCAATCCGTGACTGTTTATGGGACGCTGCTGTTCGTAATTGGCTACCGTGTTTCACCCGCAACATATACACTTTACAATATAGTCTGTGAAGCGCTTTGAGACGCCTCAAAAACGTGATAAGGCGCTATATCAAATGCAAGTATTATTGTGAAAACAAAAACAGAAGTCGCTGTGAACACTCAGCAGGTCAGGCAGCATCTATGGAGAAAGGAAAGTGAATCAATGTTTGGGTCCATGACCCTTCATCAGAACCCCTTCTCACTTTCCTTTCTCCATAGATGCTGCCTGCCCTTCTGAGTGTTCCCAGCGACTTCCATTTTTGTTTTCAGATTTCCAGCATCTGCAGTATTTTGCGTTTTGCAAGGATTATTGTTATTATCATTGTCTTTAAGGTCCAACAACTCCCAGCAACTCACTGTCCAGTCCAGCTGTTCACACAAAGCAACATCCTGACTGAAGTGGATAGATTGTTGTTAGGTAAGGACATCAAAGGATATATCTTTGAGGTATAGATCAGCCATGGTTTTATAGAAATGGCGTAACAGGCTCGAGGGGCTTGATGGCCTACTACTGTTCCCATATTCCTGCCATGAAGAGAATGACTGATTTTTCAAGGGGATTGTTGGCCAAGACACTGGGAGAGAGAACTCCCTTCTTTTGTCTCCCAATAGTGTCACGGAATCTGTAACGTCCACCTGACCAGGCACAGATAAAAATAACAATAATAATCCTTGATTTAGTGAACAAATTATTCATTTATTTTTTGAAGAGATTATTACCCTCGGAAAAGCAATCCGCCAACTTGCCCAACGTTTCCCCCTGCACGGGAATCAAATTGAATCCAGGTCCTCTCACTAAGCTACAGGACTGCATGTTAAAGTCTTGTCAGAAGTCCAGCATCCCTGACAATGCAGCGCTCGCTCCCCCAGCACTGCGCTGGAGTGCCAACCTGGGCTGTGAACTCACACGCATTGTCGCTGGTTATAACTCACCCAAATATCAGTAGATTCTTCTCCACCCGGAAGCACTCTGCCCGCAGGTAGCGGCGAGTCTTGTCATGGAGCCGGCGCGAGCGGCAGGGCCTGTCCTCGGTGTCGCTGTCCAGTTCTGAGAACTCCATCAGCTCGTCGTCTTCAAATGAGTTGTAGTGTTTGGTCTGTTTCCGGACCCGCGGCGTGTCAATCACCAGGCTGTCCTGCAGGAGGAGCCATTCACCACAGGTCACAGCACCACCATCATCATCACCATCACCATAATAATCCTTGCATTTGATATAGCGCCTTATCACGTCTCAAAATGCTTCACAGAATGGTGTAAAGTGAATTGACTGTATATTTGTGGTCAAAACACGGCAGCCAATTGTGCACAGCAGTGTTCCCACAAACAGTTGTGGATTGAAGTGACCAATTTATTATTGTTCTTTTCTTGAGGGATTATTATCAGGTGTGTGGAGTAAGGAAACTTGCCCAAGGTTTCACCCTGACCTGCCAGGAATCGAACCTAGGTCTCTCGCTTACAAAGTGAGCTGCAGGACCTCCACTCAATCCAGTTGTGGACTGAGTGATCAAATTATTAATTTTTTTTAAGGGATTATTACCCCTGGAAAGGGGTAATAATCGATTAACAACTGGGTTCCTACTTACTGCTAGGTAAACAGACGCGTGTGGAGTAAGGAAACTTGCCTAACGTTTTGCTCTGCCCAGGAACCAAACCCAGATGCTCTAATCACTGAGCCATGCCTGGCCCGAGAGACACTGTGAGCCAGCACCCACCTGCCTCAGTCACTCCAAAACCAGGCACTAAGATCAATCATTATTAGACTCTTCCCCCCGACCCCACACTACAGAGCTGCCCCGCTCGTTCCCTCGCTGCTCGTTCAGACTTGCCTTCCCATTCTTAGATTCAATCTCCAGTTCTGCAATTTTGGCCCATTTCTGCCAGAAGTTGGGATCATCCAACGAAATGTCCGTCCTGTTGCCTGATGCCACGAAGCTCGCCTGGAGATAAAACACACAAGCTTCACGGTGAAATGATCAACATTAACAACTTGCAGTTATATAGCATCCCTCACGCTGGGTAGTGTCCCAGAGAGCTTGACAGTGGCGGAGCAGGGGGAAGGGGACTGTAAGCACGGTCAAAGAGAAAGGTCTTCTGGCGCGACCTGAAGATGGGGAAGGAGGGGGCAAAGTGGAGGGATTGGGTGAACTGTCCCAGATTTTTGGAGCGAATCAGATGCACGTGTTATGTTAGAGCAAAGTGGACGGGGGACATGGGCAACAAGGACACAAGAGCAGTTCTGTTAACCTTGGCGAATGTGGAGCCTTTCCCTTCCGACTCGATGGTGATGGTGCGAGTTCTCCTCAGGAGAATCTGGTCAATATCCTCTTCGCAAAACTTGGACCCTTCGTCCTCTTCGTCCATCAGCGCCCCATATGCTCCCTTGCGAAGGAGATCTTCCACCTCGATCTTGGAGAGCGGCTGTACCTGAGCGGGACACACCCCACACAAGTCACGCTCACGCTTCACACCACAACCGCTGCCCAACCCAACTCTCCTCCACCAGCAGAAAGCTTCCCAACATGTGTGGTCACTCTTCAATAATAATAATGCTTGCATTTGATGTAGCGCCTTATTATGTCTTCAAGACGTCTCAAAGCATTTCACAGAAACTGTAAAGTGAAATTGACTGTGTATTTTGTGGGTAGAACGCGGCAGCCAATTGTGCACTGCAGTGTCCCACAAACAGTCATGGACCGAAAGATCAAATTATTATTATTTTTGATTTTTTTGTTGAAATGATTATTACCCCCAGAAAAACAATCCGCCAATCGACTAACAACCAGGTTCCTATTCACATTTAGGCAAGCAGAGGCATGTGGAGTAAGGAAACTTGTCTAACGTTTCGCCTGACTGGGAATCAAACCCATGTTCTCTCGCTTGAGAGGCTCTAACCACTGAGCTACAGATCTCCACGTTTATACATCAAGTTTGATTGAAGAAGGACCTTTGGCCCATTTGATCTCACCATTCCAGTGGGTGTGAACAGCAACAACAGAAAACCAGGCAGTGGGCAGCTTCTTCTGGTCTGACTTTCAGAATTCTATTAATACCAGCCTTTGTTTATAGGGGACGTTTGGTGAGGAAGCGCATTAAAAGATATGGAGAAAGGGCAGAGAAATTGGATAAAGGTTTGGCTGTTTGTAGCTCATGCCTGCATCCAGGTGGGCTACCCTGTTCGCCTACAAATGTAAATATAAATTTGTATTGTATTGTACAAAATATACAGTTACTACACTTTATAATACGTGGCTTAGAAGCAAGATGTCCTCCTGACGTGAAAGACAGTGTATTAAACATAAAGGTTATTATTACTATCATTTATCTCCTGTGAATCTGGTAGGCTAGCAGATGCAAGCTCGATGGGCTGAGTAGCCTCCTCCTGTTCTTGTGTTATTGTCTTTCCATCAGAGAGTCCAGGTCTTTCCCAATTAAGACCGTTTTGTTCTGAAATGTAAAGATGGCCCAGAACTGTGCTCCTCAGTTCGATGGTCCTGTAATTTGGACGGTATTTTTTCCACATCAGGTGAGAGCAAAAGAAATAGTTTCCACCTTAAGACTGGATTTGAGAATTTTTTTTCACAATTCTGCTCAATCTTTAAACTATACATGAAAATGGTCTGACAGACTCAGGGGAATTTTGTGGTCTCTGGCGTTTCAATTATTTCCTTCCGATCGGAGAGGGGCACGCAGTCAGTCAGAGGTGTGCGTACCAGAAAATAATATCTGGGGATACAGTGTACAGTTTGGGACACGACGTGTTATGTGACTGCCAGAATGGTGGAAGGCGAACTGGGTGGACCTTGACCTTCTTTCGCCAGCAAATTCTCATGTCCTTGTGTTATACGTGCCCTGAGTGTATGAGTGCCGGAGCTGGTGCGGTGGACGTGCCTCACCCCATTGGTGCTCCCTCTGCGGTTCATGGCCTGCAGCACGGCCCGGTCCAGCCCCAGCTTCAGGCTGGCCTTGTCGAACATCTCTCGCTCGTACGAGTTGCGGGTGATCAGCCGGTAAACCTGCACCGCCTTGCTCTGGCCGATCCGGTGACACCGAGCCTGGGCCTGGGGTGGGGGGCGGGAGGGGGGAGAGAGAGGTTACAGGCGACAGCGACAGACCCTCGGCCACAACAACAGATTGCATTTACGCGGCGCCTTAAACGTTGGGAGGACGTCCCAAGGTGCTGGACAGTCAGGGATTTGGACCAGAGCCAGGAATTGGGATCAGGAGGGGTGACGGGCAGTGAGGATGAGGGTAGGAGGGTGACAAAAGCGCGGTCTAAGAGGAGGGTCTTAAGATGTGCTTTGAAGGAGATCACGAATGCATAACATGGTATACCATGGTATGGAATGCTCGGGGGATGAGGTGGGCGTCTCGGAGTCTCACCTGCAGGTCATTCTGTGGGTTCCAATCAGAGTCGAAGATGATGCAGGTGTCGGCTGCGGTCAGGTTGATCCCCAGACCCCCTGCCCGCGTACACAGCAGGAACACAAAGCGGTCAGAGTCCGGCTTGGAGAATCGGTCAATCGCTGCCTGTCTGAGATTCCCCCGCACTCGGCCATCAATACGCTCATATGTATACCTAAAATATCGTAAGCACACAGCGCATCATAAGCCAATAACAACAAATTACATTTATACAGCGCCTTTCCCGTCGGGAGGATATCCAAGGTACTGCAAAGTGAAGGGTTTGCACCCGAGCTGGCGGTTGGGAATCAAGGGGTGTGGAGATGGGAAGATGACCAAATTCAAGGTTGGTCGAAGAGAAAGGTCTTGAGATGGGCCTCGAAGGAGGCAAGAGAGGGGGCGAGGCAGAGGGGCTCTGTGCTGGACTTCCAGAAGATGTGGACAGAAAGGCCTGACTGCCATTAGTGGAGTGAGTAGGGCAGGGGACATGGAGCAGGCCAGTGCCCATCAAGCGGACAGGTTGGTAAGGTGTTATTGACCACAGAAGTAGGGAGAGGTAGAGGAGCAAGACCGTGGTGGGCTTCAGAGGTGAGGACGGGGATCTTTGAACTCGATCTTCTGGGGGATTGGGCATCAAGCAAGTCAACGTGTCGAAAGCACACCCAGCGCGTGATGTTACCGTCTGTGGATAAGGTAATCCTCCAAGATATCCAGGCAACGAACCATCTGGGAAAAGATCAGGACCTTGTGGCCTCCGGCGATGAGTTTGGGCAAAAGCTTGTCGATGAGCACGAGTTTCCCCGCTGCCTGGATCATGGCCTGCAGCTGGTAGTCCGGAGCCTCGGGACTGCGCACTTCCCGGAATTCATCCAGAATCTTCTCCTCGGCACCTGCCGGGAGCCAGAGACAAAGCTGGTCAAGGGGATTGGAGAGAGGCAGGCCGACCTCTGGCACATTTAATTTGATGTTTCCAGAAACCCCCACCCTCCCCCATCCCAGCCAAATTCTCCCCCCCACATACCTTACCAACCCCACCCCTTGCACCTTAACCGTGCCCCCACCCTCAAAAATGCAGACCCAGTGTCCAGGCCTCAACCTCCCCGTTCCAGCTATTGATTACTTTTCTATGTAAAGGAATACTTTTTGGTACCTGTCCTAAAGTTGACGCTCACCCACCAATCCAGCGCCCTCTTGTCGTGCTGTGTTGGCGTATCTTGTTTCTCTCACAAAATATACAGTCACTTTACAGTATATCCTGTAAAGTGCTTTGAGACTCTCGAAGACATTATAAGGCGCTAATATCAAATGTGAGGATTATTATTATTTTGTTTACCTCTGTCCTGTTTAGCAGCTGACGTGCCCTGGCCCGTACCCTTTCAAAGGCTGAAGAGCCAGTCAAGTTGTTCTCTTTTTTGGGGGTGGGGGAATGGGACGGGACACAAAAAGGTCTTACTACATTTTGCTACAAATCCAATGACTGTCTCCCCACTGCCCCTACCAATAAACCTTCCCAGCTTTCCCCCAGAGACAGAAGTCCAGTTTACAGATCATGAGGTACACATGTTGTCTTGAGAGCCAAGCTCACCATTGATCAGATAGGGGTGATTACAACACTTCCTCAGCTCCATCATGGTGTTCAGGAGGTTGGGCATGTTGGCCTGGTTGGCTCCCTTTGCCAAGAAGGAGAAGTTCCTCTCCAGAATGGCTCTGTAGTATTTCTTCTGGATGTTGGTCAGTTCCACCTCAATGATGGTCTCCTCCTTGGGCGCCAGGTTCTTCTCCACGTCGTCCTTCAGTCTCCGCAACATCATTGGCTTCAGCACCGCCTGCAGCTTCTTCACCTGCCAATCACACGCCAAGGGTCAGCATCACATGGTCAGCCAATCACAGCAAGTCAGTTAGGGTCACTCAGCCAATCACAGCCACACAGCTTCAGTCACTGAGCCAATCATAGCTGCCCAGCAGGGTCATTGGGCCAATGACAGCTGAGGGCACATCTTTTACCCGACACAGAGCAATGCAATGACTGAACGTCTTGGGAGAGGACACCAAGTTTCTCTCAGGAGCCAGTGATAGACTGGTCTTTGTGGCCTGACTGATGTTGACCAGGTGATGCTCCACTGTGTAACCTGCAGTGGGTGCAGGTCGCAGGGAGCAGAAACCATCATTGCAGGGCTAGTAATGACAAACGACTCTGGTACCTGCTCATCGGTCTTCAGGTCCCCGAACTCCTCCAGGAAGGTGTTCTCGGATGGGAAATGTGTCGGCTCCAGGAAATTTAGCAAACTAAAGAGCTCTTCCACTGTGTTCTGCAGAGGTGTTCCAGTCAGCAGCACCTTGTGTTCCTGAGAGCAGAGACACAGAGGGTGAGTGAAAGTCAGAGACAGCAAGCGAGAGAGAGTCAGTGATTGAGCGAGGAAGAGAGAGAGACAGAGTGAGAGACGGAGAGATACAGAATGAGAGCAAAACACGAGTGTGCGAGGACTGTTCCTTCCTGGTAGCACAAACAGCAAACTGACATTGTACAACAACGTGCAACTGAAGGAATACCCGGCATTGGCCTGTGAATTATGAGGAGGCGATGAGGAACTTTAAGGCTGAGAAATTTGGTGCCTCACGTTGCTTGAAATTGATTTTGTGGGGTGGGAAAGAACCTCTATCTGATGCCCATCTCTCCCTATCTCTCTCTCGAGTCTTCAGCTACTGTCAACCAAACAGGACACAGGAGTCATTCAAACCAGATCAGATCAACACCTGGATACACAGAGCCTTTAGGCCAATTCCCACAACAGGCTGGCTGAGCCACACATGAGCAGTGTTGAAAGAGGAGGCGAACTCTGTTTTGGCTACAGGTTTCAGGTTTGCATGGAGAGGCTTTGAGAGGGGGGAGCGGGGAGGGAGGGGGGAGCGGGGAGGGAGGGGGGAGCAGGGAGGGTGTCTCCTCACCAATCCCATCAGCTTCAGGCCCTCCAGCAGCTTGCAGTTCTTGTTCTTCAGCCGGTGTGCCTCGTCGATGATCACACAGCGCCACTGGATCTTACGCAGCTCTGGGCAGTCGGCCAGGATCATCTCAAAGGTAGTGATGATGGCACTGAACTTAAAAATGCCCTGAATAGGAGCCCCCTGCAAGAGAGCAAGATCCCAGCACAATCAGCCAACACTGAACGAGACATTCAGCCTTTCAAACAAAAGGCTTTAGCAAGTAAACAGGGAAACACTGGCTCCACTGAACAATAACAAGATTACATGGGTATAGCGCCTTTCACGTCGCGAGGATGTCCAATGCGCTGGACAGCGACAGCATTTCGGACCCGAGCTGGGTTCGGGGGGAGAAGGGAGGGGAGGGGAAGGGGGGTGACCGATGGCATGGTTGAAGAGGAGGGTCTTGAGGTAGGACTTGAAGCTAAGGAGGGGCGAGGCGGAGCAATTGGGGGATGGAATTCCAGAGGTTGGGGGCAGAGTGGCTGAAGGCTCTCCCGCCAATGGTGGGGCGGATGGGTCAGGGGACATGGAGCAGCCAGAGCCGGCTGAGCGGAGGGAGCAGGCGGGTTGGTAGGGAGTTAGGAGATCATAGAGATAGGGTGGGGCGAGGCCATGGAGGGCTTTGTAGGTGAGGACCAGGATCTTGAACTGGATCCTCCGAAGGATAGGGAGCCAATGGAGTCGGGCGAGAGTGGGGGAGATGGGGTCACGGAGTTTGGTGCGGAGAGGACACGGGCTGCAGAGTTCTGGATTATCTGCAGCGTGTGGGGGGAGGAGTTGGGAAGGCCGACAAGCGGGGCGTTTGCATAGTCGAGCCTAGAGGTGGAGAAAGGCATGAATAAGAGTTTCAGCGCCTGAGGGGTGAGGTAGTGGCGGAGTCGGCCGATGTTACGGAGGTGAGGGAAGGCAGAGTGGGTCATGGCTTTGATGTGGGGAAGAAGACAGTTGGGGGTCGAACAAGTCACCCAGGTTCCTGACTGGCTGGTGAGTTGTAGTGTGCAACCATGGAGGTTGATGCTGCCAGAGCCTGAGGGGCAGAGGCGCTGCATTTATAAAGGGCCCCTCATGCAGGGTAGCTTCCCAGAGCGCTTTGGATGGTGAGTTGCAGCGATTTAAGATCAAAACCAAAATCACAGAAAGATGTTAAGACATTTTTTAACACTTGCATGTGCACATACAGGCGCAGGGTTATTAGCACATGAAATACGAGACTAAAATTCTTGGTTGAACGAGAATTCATAATATATTTTAAAAGGGAATTAGAACAAATATTAAAAGAAGACAACAACAACAACAACAAGATTCCATTTATAAAGCGCCTTTCACATCGGGAGGACGTCCCAAGGCGCTGCACAGTTGGGTCAGGACCCGAGCAGGGGGAAATGGTCAGGGTGAGGGGAGGGAAGGGAGGGAGCGAGGAGGGGGGAAATGGTCAGGGTGAGGGGAGGGAAGGGAGGGAGCGAGGAGGGGGTAGAGAGTCGAGAGCGGAGCTGAAGGCTCGGTCAAAGAGACAGGTTTTGAGACCGGCCTTGAAGGAGGAGAGGGAGGAGGCAGCGAAGGCACTGGGGATGGAGTTCCAGAGCCTCGGGGCTGAGAGGCTGAAGGCCCGACCACCGATGGTAGGGCGATTGGGGCGGGGGACGTGGAGCAGACCGGAGCCGGAGGAACGGAGGGTACGGGCAGGTAGGTAGGGGGATAGTAGGTTGGAGAGGTAGGAGGGAGCAAGGCCGTGGATGGCCTTATAGGTGAGGGTGAGGATCTTGAATCAATTCTCTGGGGGATGGGGAGCCAGTGGAGGCGAGCGAGGGTGGGAGTGATGTGGTCCCGAAGCCTGGTGCGGGACAGTACACGAGCTGCAGAGTTCTGAATGACCTGCAGCTTGTGGAGGGAGGTTAATTTTAACTATTTAAAAGAGGATGTATATGTGTGTCTAAGCATGTGTATGGGTCCATGTATGTACATGTATGTATGTGCAGGTCTATGTATGTATGTGGGTACGTATGTGTACATGTGTGTCTATGTATGTGTCCGTGCATGTGTGAGTGTGTCTATGTATGTGAATATATGGATGTGCATGTGCAGGTCTATGTTTGTGCGCGTATGTGTGAATATGCATATGTAAGGATCCATGCAGGTATGTATATATATATATATATATATATATGTGTGTGTGTGTGTGTGAGACAGAGCCACAGTGTGCCTCACCTCAGTGTCCTTATAGTGCATCTCATATTGATGGATCATCTGGCGGCTGATCTGGCTGCCGTGGTACACAATCACGTTGATCTCCGTCCAGGTGCGGAACTCCCGCTCCCAGTTGGCTATTGTGGAGAGAGGGGCAATAATGAGGAAAGGCCCTCGCATTCCCTTCAGGTATATCTCATACAGAAAGGTTATGGATTGGATTGTCTTGCCCAGACCCATTTCATCTGCCAGAATGCAGTTTTTTCTGAAAAATACAAATTTGTAAACCTCATTAAACACAAGCGTGGGGAGAGGGAGAGAAAATAATCACATCATTTACACATTTATCCTCTTCACTCAGGCTAGGTGAGAGAGAGACAGAGAGCTAGACAGAGAGAAATTAAAAAAGAGTTAGTTAAAGTTAAAACAATGTAATAAAACTCATTAATAAGATGAGCAGAGAGAATTTAACATGGCACTGCAGGGTTTGCCTTGGTTACGTGAGACAGCGTCAAAGATCACGTAACCAAGGCAACCAAGCTCAGCCGCTCAAAGAGCTTTCCTTTGCCTTTGGTTAAAGCATTTTGAGTCCTGTGCAACCAACTTCCAGCACCTCCCAGCTAGCACGGAGAGAGAGCGGGAGGGAGAGAGAGAGAGACTCACCTGTTGTACCAGTTGAAGAGCAGCCAGTTCATTCCCTCCAGCTGATATTCCCTGAGTTCATTTTCGTTTCTATAATCTCGCGAGCCGTCCAGTTTCTGCCAGGATTCGGGAATGGGACGATCCTGATGGAAACCAACAAGGAGCAGGTTTAGAATGGCAGGAATTCCCGAGCATCCCTCCCAGCTCTGCAAATACACAAAGCACCTCGACGCACTCAGTTTCCTGTTCACCACTGGAGCTCACTGTCTGCTGTGCGAGTACAGTCATTGCTTATATTAATCTGTGCCTGTAATACAGCCCTCTATAACATCATAACGTACCAAAGCACCATAGTCTAGTGACTGTGTATTTGTAGGCAGGCTTGGCAGCCAATTTGCGCACAGCAATGTCTTACTTCATACATGAGGTGAATAATAGTAATAATCCTTACATTTGATGTAGCGACTTATCAGGTTGTCAAGATAACTCAAAGTGCTTCACAAGATATACTGTAAAGTGGAGTGACTGTGTATTTTGTGAGCCAACTGTGCACTGCAATGTCCCACAACAGCCATGGAGTGAGTGACCATTTTCATTTAGAGGATTGTTGGCCAATTGTTTGTTGGCAGAGAGAAACTCCCTTGTCTTTTGAATAGTGATGTGGGATGTTTAACGTCGACCTGAACAGGCAGCTGATTTAACATACACCAAAATGGCTGCCACATCTGCATACAAACACACAATGACTACACTTGGCAGCCCAGGAAGCACTCTGGGACATGTCCTACGCGATAATGGGCTATAAAAACACAGGTTTATTCTCTCATTCACACAAACACTGTATGGGCCCAGACAAACAGACATTCGATCCCATTTACCCCGTTGGTAACTTCAGGCATGATCTGCAGCAGCTCATAGTCCTGGATTTTAACCGGATCAATGTCCTCCACCAGCTCCCATGTGCTCTCCTCATAGGGCAACGAACACCACTTCACCAGGTAGTGAATCACCGGCTGGAGGTGGGGAGGGGGGAAAAGAAGGTTAAAGTTAAAGCAGTGAACATTAATGACAGAATTTACTGGTTGAAATTGCAGCTACACACGCACACACACACACACAACGTATACACACACACCAACGTATATACTCACACGTGCGCACACAGGATTAATAACAACAAATGATAAGATAATGTGAATTGTCGCATAATAACTCCACTGCAGCCAAGTGCAAGTAAACAAACAGAACAGGACTGCACCCCCATCACAACCTTATCCAAGCCAGAGCCAGATGTGGGACAACCCCAAGGCTCCTGGAATCAGACAGACTAAAGGTGCACCAGGCGCTGAAGCAGTACAGAGCCGTTGTGTTTGGTTGCTATAGAAACTCCAGCAAAGGAGGCCATTTGGCTCATCCTACACACGCGCCACAATCACCAAAGGAGCAACTCGCTGAGAATTTGTTGGCTCTGAACGTACATCTGTACCCACCTCCCCAGTCTCTGTATCGATCGTGTGTGCCACATCCAGAATCCGATCCACTTCAACGTAATCCGGATTAAAGGGTTCGTCGTCAGTCTGCAGGCAGAAACCCAGATTGATTCACGTGGAAATGTGTTGCACCACATAACGGAACTCACGGTAACAACTCAAGGGAGTGGCTCAGGCAAGGAGCAACTTTGAGCCCATTTGATCTCATCCTTCCAGTTCCCTGGCCTCCTGTCTTCCTTGTACTGGCCTCAGTCACCTGATCTGGGAACCATGATCCCAGTTCCGCTCCCATCTGTGACCCTCCAGTGAAGAGATTTTCACAGCGAGTCAGCCCTCTCCCTCACTCTTACCTCAAGAAAAAGGTGCTTCATTTGTGCGAGCTTGGTCCTGAAGCGTTTGATCTTCTGGTGAATCCTCTTGTCTTTCTCCAGCTCCTCCACCGTGGCCCACTTACAGTGCAGGTAGGAGCTGTGACACAGGGAGCACACTGAGCCATGGGCCTCACACATCAGAGACCCCCCACATACACCCCCCCGACCCCACACACAGCAACCCTCGTACACCACACAGCCCCTCCCATACACCAGAACCCTCCATACACCACACAGCACCCCCTCATACACCACAAGGCCCCCAAATACACCACGCAGCGCAGCCCACCGCACACCACACAGCGCAGCCCACCGCACACCACAGCCCCCCACACCGCACAGCGCAGCGCCCCCCCGCACACCACAGCCCCCCCCCGCATACCACACAGCGCAGCCCCCCCCCCGCACACCACAGCCCCCCCCCCGCACACCACACAGCGCAGCCCCCTCCCCCGCACACCACAGCCCCCCCCGCATACCACAGCGCAGCCCCCCCCCCCGCACACCACACAGCGCAGCCCCCCCCCGCATACCACACAGCGCAGCCCCCCCCGCACACCACACAGCGCAGCCCCCCCACGCACACCACACAGCGCAGCCCCCCCCACCGCACACCACACAGCGCAGCCCCCCCCGCACACCACACAGCGCAGCCCCCCCCCCCGCATACCACACAGCGCAGCCCCCCCGCACACCACACAGCGCAGCCCCCCCCCGCACACCACACAGCGCAGCCCCCCCCCGCACACCACAGCCCCCCCCCCCGCACACCACACAGCGCAGCCCCCCCACCGCACACCACACAGCGCAGCCCCCCCCTGAACACCACACAGCGCAGCCCCCCCCCGGCACACCACACAGCTCCCCCCCATACACCACAGCGCAGCCCCCCCCCGTACACCACACAGCACAGCCCCCCCCCCCCCGTACATCACACAGCGCAGCCCCCCCCCGTACACCACACAGCACAGCCCCCCCCCGTACATCACACAGCGCAGCCGCCCTCCCGTACACCACACAGCGCAGTCCCCCCACGAACACCACAGCGCAGCCCCCCCCCCCGTACACCACAGCGCAGCCCCCCAGTACACCAGAGCGCAGCTCCCCGTACACCACACAGCACAGCCCCCCCCCCCCAAGTACACCACACAGCGCAGCCCCCCTGTACACCACAGCGCAGCCCACCGCACACCACACAGTGCAGCTCATCAGCTGCCACAATCGCCTATAAAATCTACACTTGACAGTAATTCACGCCGTGGCGCCTGTATCAGATGTGGGGACTAGTTATAATTAATTTCATAGAGTATTGCAGACAAGGTTAATTGATGATTAACTAGTGTAACCAGCAATACGTCGACTGGGTGGGGGGGGGAGAAACTAATCAGGTCACAAACTCTCTTGTCACTGGATCCCCAGCTCACTCTCTGGGGCTGAGATTATGTGGGTGAGATGGTGCCCACCACCTCTCCATACTTACTAATTCCTGTATTTGACGTAGAATTCTTCCACCTCCGTCGGCGTCCCGCCTGCAACCAGCTGAAACCACACATTCATTTCCACATTAATGAAACTAACTATTACTCTACAGACAAAGGCAGGCCTCATACACACACACCTCGATTTACTGTTAATCTTTTCTTAAAGCTGTGAGGCGAGAGATTTTTATTTCAACCTCAAGATTTGGTACTTTGAGGTTTTTTTTTAATAAGCAAAACGTGGGGACAGAGAAAGATGCAGAGAGAGAAAGAGAGACACAGAGAAAAAGAAAGAGAAAAATAAAGGGAAAGAAAAAGAGATATGCACAGCCTCTATACCTGGCCAGGCTGGACACACCACATACAATACTGTGGACCCAGCACAATGTTTGAGACAAGAATGTGGCAGGATTACAAGGAAACTCATCTCACCTCCTTCTGCACCATTCGCATGTTCAGGATCTTCTCAATCACCGCAGACTCATCCTCCTCCTGGCTCTCCTGCTACAAGAGAGAGTGGGGTAGAGAGAGGAGGGGGGGGGGGGGGGAGGGAGAGAGAGGGAGGAGAGAGAGGCGAGAAGGGGGCGGGGCGAGAGGGAGAGAAGACGTGTTGAAGTTTCTAAGAAGATTAATCCATTTCAACACCATTCCTTGGTTGAGGAATGGAACCAGTTTAGGAATAACTCGAACTTGGCCACAAGAGCAGCTCAGGGCCTTCAGGTTCTAATCAACATGAAGCAAACACACTGCGGCTTTCCCTGGTTCCCTGAAAAAAGCAACATGGCTGGGATATTTCAACAGGCAAATATTTTCTATCCACGATGAGATATTGAGATTATGGCAAATCCACAGCAATGATTCTCAGCTGCTCAGTGCCACTCCCTCTGGCGAAAACCAAACCCGGTGTCCCACACTGATACACACCAGCTGTCTGAGCTGACACCAAACACCACACAAGCCTGCCATTGGGGAGAGAGTGCTCCAGCAGGAGAGGGAGAGCACCAGACCAGATTTGCGACATGCATAAAGTCAGGCTACTGAAATGATAAGTAGAGTCCTGTAGCCCAGTAATTAGAGCACTCGCCTCACAAATGAAAGGACCTGGGTTTGTTTCCCGGCAGGGCAAAACATTGGGCAAGTTTCCTTACCCCATACGCCTCTGTCTGTTAGATGCAAGGATTATTATTATTTAAATACACACTGACAGAAAGACAAGACACTGGATGGGCAGAGCAAGAACCTCTCCTAATCTATCAGGAAGCGACGCTTCTCAGTTCCACTCTAGGAAAGGGGGAAGGATTCAAAAAAGGTCTCCACATTCTGACAAGAACTCTATGCCTTTTCTCCTTGTTCAACCCTCAGCCAATCTTTCAGCAGATACACGGAGATACGCTAAGAGGCCACAGCACCTCCCGCCTGCCTCTCTAGCCAGTAACTCTCTTCACTGCAACACGTCCCTCGGAGGACCACATGTCTGTGCTCCCCTCAGGACATAGACCTCCACTTGGAAGCCCTGAGAAGGTGACCTCGTATCTGCCTGCTGCCCTACATAGGATCTCCCTACCCCCTGCCTCCACCGAGCCTCTTACCGTGGTCTGGGTTCCTTTCTGTGAGGAGCCAGAGCTCGGCGAGATCTTCCCTGCTCCCAGAACGGCAATTGTTTCACCGTCGTCATCGACAACTTTGAAGTCCATGTCTTCATTGTACTTCCTTCGCTTTACTTGCCGGCCTGATCGTCGCTTCTACCAAACAAACAAGAAACTGGCGTCATTAAGACAGCATCTCAGAAGCTAACAACTGTGCCAAGTCCTCGATAGCAGCGAGTCATCCAGGCAAGAAGAAGTTGGAGCCTGGAAGGTCCACAGGCTGCAGTAGGCACTGATGTGCTGTTCTAGCCAATGGCAGCTGGCAAAGGAAATGGATTTGAGGGAAGAGACCAGGTAACCTCCTTCCGCTCTCCCTGAACTCTGCTCAAAGCTAACGCTGACCACAGCCATACTGACTTGCCCGCTTCCTCCGCTCAGCTGGCTCCGGCCTGCTCCATGTCCCCCGACCATCCCTCCCCACCATCGCTGGTCAGGGCTTCAGCCGTTCTGACCCCACCCTCTGGAACTCCATCCCAGTCCCTCTGCCTACAGCCCCTCCCTTGTCTCCATCAAGGCAGGTCTCAAGATCCTCCTCTTCGACCACTCCTTCTACCCTCAACCTTCTACCCCCATCTTTCCTGCCCCCCACCCCTCCTGATTCCAACCGCCAGCTCGGATTCAAATCCCTCACTGCTCAGCAACTTGGGCTGTCCTTGCGACGTGAAAGGCGCTGAATAAATATAATTTGTTGTTGCTGTTTAACCTCTTTAAAACTTAATCACCTTCTCCAGCTGGAGCTGACTATATAAAGTTGCTTTTGTTCGGGTTAGTTAAATAAAACTGGTTTTGTGGGGGTAGTGAGCAAGTACGTATATAAAGTGTGTGTATGGTGGGATGCACAGTGTGGTGTGTGTGTGATAGTGCTTCAGCCACTCAGGAAGTGAGCCATAGTTTCCGAATACAAGCCTCTGCCCATTGGTGACCATCAGTCACAATGCCTCTGTAGCCTCCCACTCACACAACCTGGGTTTATAATAATAATAATCATAATAATCCTTGCATTTGATATAGCGCCTTATCACGTCACCGAGACGTCTCAAAGCTCTTCACGGAATATACTGTAAAGTGAATTGACTGCATATTTTGTGGGCGAAACGCAGCAGCCAATTGCACACAGCAGTGTCCCACAAACAGTCATGGATTGAAGTGACCAATTTATTATTTTTTGAAGGAATTATTACCCCCGGAAAAGCGATCCGCCAATCGACTAACAACTGGGTTCCTAATTACTGCTAAGTAAACAGAGGTGTGTGGACTAAGGAAACTTGCCCAACATTTTGCCCTGCCTGGAATCGAACCCAGATCTCCTCGCTTGTGAAGCCAGTGCTCTAGTTGTGGGATTACAATTGGCTGCAGTCCTCCTGATGTGAAAGGTGCTATTAAAATATAAATTGTTGTTGTAGACATAGCCAAGAGTTACAGTAGACGTGGATCTTTTGGAGTTCAGGTAGTTAAAATAAAAGAACAGTGAATGTTCTAAGGTCTTTAAATATTCCCAATAAATCCGGCGCACTCTGGACTCACAGCAAGGGCAGTATACAGGCCAGAAGCTCAGGCAGGCAAGTCTGTAGCAGTGACTGGGCTCAGAACAGTGTAAAGGCTGGTGATGATGTACTTTGTGAATTAAACTGCAGATAACAAAACCTAACCTACGACTTGTGATCTTTCACAGGATTCATTCCCCCTTCCCCCCCCCACACACACTCTCCCTGTAACTACATTTGCAGCTGGGAGACCTGGAATTTCTGAGATGCTCTCTAGACTACACCAGTCCCTTAAGGAGCCACTGATGGAGATCTGAGAGGAGAGGTTCCGGAATTCAGTGGCTGTCTTTTTGTCATGCAAGCGCACAAACCACAACGAGCAACGGCAGCCAAACCTGGTCCCAGGGGGCGTGGGTGGGGGGGGGGGGGTCATGCCCCACACCTCGCACAGAGAACAGGCATTGCTGGAAAAGTTGCCTCAATAACATTACAAAGTGTCCCGAGATATGAGAGCTTCCGAGATTGGTTCCAAATCCCGGTTGGATTTCACATCCACCAAACAATTCAAAGCACCACTCGCACCTGGGCAAGTCCTCACGAGCCAAGCAATAATAATAATAATCCTTGCATTTGATGTAGAGCTCGATCACATCTTTGAGACGTCTCAAAGCGCTTCACAGAATATACTGTAAAGTGAATTGACTGGGTATTTTGTGGGCGAAAAGCTGCAGCGAATTGCGCCCAGCAGCGTCCCACAAACAGTTGTGGATTGAGTGACCAATTTATTATTTATTTTTTCTGAAGGGATTATCACTCCCGGGAACGCGATCCGCCAATCGACTAACAACCAGGTTCCTACTTACTGTCAGGCTCTCACTCAGATGGAGCCAAAGTTTCCAATTTCATTCAATTTCTGCAGCAAGGAAGCCTCCGACACTCTCAACAACCAATTTCCACACACAGACTTCCCTTCGCTTTAAATACCCATCTTAAACTCATGTCAAGGATCACAATCCTGACGTGTAACAGACCCCACAATATCACAGTCTGGCAGATACACCTTTCATTTGTTGTCACCTCCGGGCAGTGGATTGATGGAAGAGTCTGACTGTCTGGCCAGCTCACCGTAATCTGCTCAACTCACAGCCAATGGAACAGTCCACAGGAGGGATACAATGGAAAGTGTCAAACCAGGAAGCCTGAGATTGAACTAGAACCCCCATTAAGATGGTGTGAGTGCGCACTGTACATACAGTATCGGGGGGGGGGGGGTGGAGCTAACCTCACATAGTGTGTGGTGGGGGGGAGGAGAAAGAAGGTAAATTTAATTTCCACATTTCTTAGAAGGAACCACTTTCCAAATGCATCTGTGCCATCTTACATTTTAAGGCAAAGTTGCCCGAGAGGCTGTGACAAGGTGGAATTTCAGGCCTCTTGAAATTTCCTTCATTGTGGGACAACTGTACAGAGAGAGAGAGAGAAAATCTATTTCTGCCTCTGACCCAACCTCAGCTGTTCCACATACAAACAATTTATAACTGCTCCCAATTCTTCCCCTGGCGACTCAGACACACAGATCACGGCTCTATGGGGGGAGGGTGGGGAGAGAGAGAAAAGGGCATCCAGTCACTGGAGACACTGATGGGTGGCCGGCAGACACTGAGGCAGAAACGGCCACAATCCATCTCCAACACAACAGTGGCACTGCACCACAAAGCCTCCCCAAATAATCAACACAACTGAGTGAGACACTTCAATTTTGTGGCCATTCCCCCTTCTTTCATCATAGCCCAAAACACCCTTGGGGTGGGGGGGGAAGAAGAGATCTTTACCTGAGCATCTGTCAGCTCCTCAGTTGTGGTGGCTGTGGCCTCCAGCTCAGAGCTCTCCACAGCAGCCTCATTTTTCCTTTTCCCTTTTTTCTTCTTCCCGGGCAGCGTTGGTCCCTGCTCTTTGCTGTGGAGAAAAAAATAAAATTGTTAACAAAAAAAAACTCAACATGAAACAGACACGTTGATACCCCTGTAAACCGGAAGCCAGTTGCTTTTCAAGAAGCATTTCTCTCTCCTAGTTTCCTGCAAGACAATTCCCTCAGATAAAAATCAGGCATTCGCTCCATGGCCATTGGCAGGACATTACTGTGCACAAATGGGCTGTCGTGCTTGCCTACAAAATAAACAGTAACTACATTTCACAGATTATGCTGCAAAGCACTTTATGACATCCTTCAAATGTGAAAGGTGCTGTATCAAATGCAAAGATTATTATTATTAATAACGTTGGAGAAAACAGAGTCCAAATTAAACATGAATTTAAGAATTTTCTATAATTCTGCTCATTCTTAAGTTTGAAACTAATAGAAAACTTCCGAGCCTTAAGAACAACAAAAAATTGATTTACACAGCGCGTTTCATGTCGGGACGATGTCCCAAGGTGCTGGACAATGAGGGGTTTGCACCTAAACTGCAGGCTGGGATCAGAGAGGAGGTGGAGGGCAGGGAGGGTGGAAAACCTTATCCCCCTCCCTAACCCGAGGCACAAAGACCCACTGCAACATGGTCTGTGTTAGTGCTGCACCCAACGAGAGATGGCTTTACTATACACCCACAGCACAGCTCCAGCCCCTAACATAAAGCAACCCTTCCCCTCACTCTTCTACTACCACAGTCCCTCTATCAGTCTGGAGTATGAGTACATAACGTGGGGCTTGAACCTTTAATCTTCCGACTCAAATGCAAAATGCGGCCACCAAGCCAAAATGACATTCCAGCGCAGTTCTGGGGGAGCACAGCATTGTTGGTGGGGCTGAACCCAGGTCCAGCTGTGCCTGTTTACATGGACATTAAAGATTCCCTGAAAAGAGAAGGGAGTTTCTCCTGGTGTCTGGGCCAACAATCCAGATGAATCGATCCTCACCTTGGCGCTGTAGGTCGAACTTCGCTGGGCGCAAACAGCTTCTGCATTTGTCTGCAAAATCAGTCACTACTCTCAACTGCAATTACTTGCGAAGCGCTTTGAGACGCTTCAGTGAGCTATAAAATCGCTTCCTTTTCTATGAAGGAACAAAATTGATGTGACGCATCGTGCTGCAGGGTCAGGCTTCAGAGAGAAACCGCAGAGGCCCGGGGGCTCGGGTGGTGGGGGGGGGGGGGTGAGCTCACCAACCACCAGTCAGTAAAACAATCACAGACGGACTTTCAAGGCTCGGCAAGCCGGAATGCCAGGAATGCACACAGTAGCCTAGGGAAGCAGATGTCCCCACTTTGCTAATGAAACCATACACCCAGGCAGCAGAGATCAGAGCTAACGAGTTACTGGCAAGCAAGCTCTCTGCACTCGTCCTGGGGTCAGTTCCTGCAGGTGGGGAGGAAGAGATGGAGAACAGATAAGGGAACAAATCTCCCGTGCACAATTGTGGAAATGCTGCGTTAACAGTGCAGATAGACCAAATAAACTTGGTCTTTCATTTTGTCACTGTTTGTGGGACACTGCTGTGCGCAATTGTGCTGCCGTGTTTGCCTACAAATACACAGTCACTCCATTTATTAATATAATAACGATAATTTCATTTTACAATAAATCCTGGGAAGTGCTTTGAGACATCCTTCTGATGTGATAATTCTTGTACTTGATACAGCACCTTATTATTATTTTATTATTATTGTTATTACAATTTAAATGACTCAGTAGAGGTAATGTGTAAGTGGCTTCAGTGCTAGCTCAGCCAGACCAATAACACTGCCACGTTACATATAAATGAATGTTACTTTTGTTAGTATATTTGAGCTTCATAAAATATTGATTATTATTAATTATCATTACTACAGAATAAGAATGGATTTGTGTCCCCAGCAGGAAAATAAAGATGAGGTTTATGTATTGAAGGGAAGCGGCACTGTCGACACAGTGACCTATTATTAATCCTTGCATTTGATATAGCGCCTTATCACGTCTTTGAGATGTCTCAAAGCGCTTTACGGGATATACTGCAAAGTGAATTGACTGTATATTTTGTGGGTGAAACGCGGCAGCCAATTGTCCACAGCAGTGTCTCACAAACAATTGTGGATTGAGTGACCCAATTTTTTTAAAAATGGATTGTGACTCCTAGAAAAGTGATCCTCCAATCAACTAATAAGCGGATTCTTACTTACTGATAAGTGACCAGAGGTGAGTGGAGTAAGAAAATTTGGCTAACGATTCCGGGAATCGAACCTGGGTCCTCTCACTTGCGAGGCGAGTGCTCTAACCACTGAGCTACAGCACTGTATATCTCCAAACTCCCCGATACCAGGTGACTGCAAGCCCGGGAACCAGAGATACCGAATTCCCCACTGTCTCACCCCCAAGCCCATGTCATTGAAATTTAATATCGCAGAGTTTTTGGAAAACTCTTCAACTCGGCTTTAGTTTAGAAGCCAGCTTTCTGCCATGCTTAAAAGCGCCTTCTTCCAAATTAAAATTGAGGAATTTGACATAATCTTGAATTTTAGGGCAATATGGTCTCACAATCTTCAGGCCTCTCCAGCCTGAAATTCCAAATTCCACCTGGCTCTCCAGTTCGCGTCCCCATCCCCTTTCATATTTCTCTCTCCCTCTCCCCTCCACGGTTCCATCTAACTCCAATCAAAAAGTACTGACAGACACCAATTTAACAACACAGAATTATGAAGCGCTTTTGAGACGTCTCGATAACATGATAAGGCGCTGCATCCAATTTATTATTGCTATTGAATTGTGTGTCAGCCTGGCTTGGTCAGTAGCACTCTCACTTCCGAGTAAGAAGGTTATGGGTTTTTGCTCCCAAGTTTTTTTGCCCCAAGTTGTGGCTGACATTCTAGTGCAATGTTGGGGGACGAGGGGGGCCGCCTTGTCATACATGCCATCCTTTGGATGAGATATTAAACCAAGGTCTCACCCAAAACAAGGCACCTTCAAGAATACAGTGGTCCCCCCCATCCCTCCCCCACAACTGCGCTGGAGCACTAGCCTAAAGATGTTTATATTAATAAGTATTTAAACTAAACATGGTAATTGGCTGCCACATTTCACCCACAAAATATACAGTCAATCACCTTTAAAGTGTATCCTGTGAGACCCCTCGACCATGTGATAAAGTACTATGATTATAACAACAGCAACTTGCATTTATATACTGCCGCTTTCGCAGGGTAGTGTCTCAGAGTACTTGTTATGAGTTCAAAGTCCTCCATAACATTTTGCCCCTAGACGAGAGTGGGGTAGGGAGTGGGGTAGGGGTGATGGTGAGTGTGTGTACCTGGTTCTCTTGCTGCCCTTGGCTCTTGTTGTGCTGCTGGCTTTACATTTAGGCTCCGGGGTGGGATTTTTGGAGTCCGGGCTCGCTTTGGGCTCCTTGGCACCTTTGGCCCCCTTTGGCCTCTTGCCCTCCTTAGGCTCTTTCGTCTCTTTGAGTCCCTTCTCCCCTTTAAGTTCCTTCACCTCCTTACACTTCTTCCCCTCTTTTGCCTCCCTTTTCTTCTTCTTTGGTTTGGGCTCCTTCTCGCTGGTTGCTTTCTCATTGCCCTCTTCCTTTGGCTCTTTTTTCTTCCGTTTTTTCTTGACCCCCGTGCCACCTTCCCCAGCCTCAGCAAGGGGGGNTGTTTGGTCGGCCACTGGGTTTTCCCGCTCACCTGGGGAGCCTGTCTGGGCCTCCTCCCCCTCTAGGGGGCAGCCGGAGGCTTGGGGAGTGTGGGCTCGGTCACAGGGGCTAGGTTGGTCCTGGGCCTGGCACAGTTGTACCGCCTGTCCACCAACGGGAGAGGTGCCGGAGGCTGGTGATTGCTTGGATGTCTTTGAAGTGGAAGGCTGTGAGAAACAAACAGTGAAGAATCAATTAACTAGTTCTGTGGAGTCCTGTAGCTTAGTGGTTAGAGCACTCGCCTCATAAGCCGGAGGATCTGGTCGAGGCTGGGACACTGTGGCTAATGTAAGAGGCAGCTCTATGTTGTAATGGGAGGATGGTGAGCCAGGTCTCTCACTGCCTGTTAAACGTTAGGCGTCAGGCAGAGAGAAAGCAAAGGACTCAAAACCAACCACAACACAGAACCCTGATTGCCAGGTAATGAGATCAATTAATTCCAGAATCAGGCCGCTTGTATTTAAATTATCCGAGAATCATTACTGCATGACACAACAGCTACTTACACTAAATGAAGGCAGCAACCCAATTAGTCAAGACAGTGAGAAATAATGTGGCCTGCATTCCTAAACAAGGCGTCTGACTGAGACCAGTCACAGCACGAGAGGCTTGGATAGTCCTGTAGCTCAATGGTTAGAGCGCTCGCCTCACAACCAAGAGGACCTTGGTTCAATTCCTGGGCAGGGTGAAACGTTGGGCAAGTTTCCTTACTCCACACACCTCTATTTACCTAGTAGTAAGTAGGAACCCGGTTGTTAAGTCGATTGACGGATTGCTTAAAAAATAATAAATTAATAATTTGGTCACTCAATCCATGACTGTTTCTGGGACACTTGAGTTGGCTGCTGCAATAATAGTCAATTCACTTCACAGTATATTCTGTGAAGCACTTTGAGACCTCTCAAAGATATGATATGGCACTATATCTAATGCAATGATTATTATTATAACATGTAAGGCCCTTTGGACATGTAAGGATCTCATTCCATCTCATCCCATCCTTACAGAATAGTGGCCTTGCCTTGCCAACACCAATCAATGACACCCAAAGCAACAGAGCCATCAACAGCGCACAACGCTCCATGGACAGTCTTGGAGAGTAACTTGAAGGAGAATTAAAGAGAGCGTGTGAGAGTGAGTACAAACAAGAGTGGGAATGAGAGTAAGAGGGGGAACACAGACAGACACTGAGACAGTGAGATACAGTCCTAGAGGCAAAAGGACATGAGTGAAAGTCAGCACATTAGAGGCCAAGCGCCAGAGTGCAGAGATGAGCTGCTCAGTCTTAATTCCACTCTCCTGTTCACTCACCCCCATCCACCCACCGATACACACTCTTTAATACTGATTACTCTTCTTCGATGATCTAAGTTTCTTTAAAAGAACTGACCTATTCTGTCTCAACTCTGGTTTATGGTTGAGAAGTCCATGTCATCGAGACGTCTCAAAGTGTTTGACAGAATATAATGTAAAGTGTAGTGACTGTGTATTTTGTGAGCGAAACGCAGCAGACAATTGCGCACAGCAGCGTCCCACACAGTCGTGGACTGAGTGACCATTATTTCTTTGAGGGATTATTACCCCCCGGAAAAGCAATCCACCAATTGACTAACAACCGGGTTCCTACTCACTACTGGTAAACAGAGGTGTGCGGAGTAAGGAAACTTGCCGAAGGTTTTGACCTGCCCGGGAATTGAACACAGGTGTTCTCGCTTGCTAGGTGAGTGCCCTAACCACTCCGCTGCGGGACTCCATAGACGCACAGAGTCTGTACAACCTCCATACACAAGCCCCCAACCAGGAGCTGCTGTAACATAATCCCACACAAAGAGCTGCAGACACAGGGCCACCCGTTTCTGTATCACCCAAACCCTCCACTCGCATCGCTCCGAACAAGGTCACAGAGCAAACACCACAACACAGCAGCGTGCTCTCCAGAGAGTTTAACCCACAATTAACACACACACAGGGAGGCAGCAGGTCCTGGACAATGCCTGAGCCACAGTGTGAACAAACAGAGCTTGAGCTCACACACCTGACCTGCAGCAATCCTGGCACTCTATCGGTGTGTAGCCAACGCCATCAAACAATCAGCTTTATTTGTTAATGTGCATTCCAAAATGAACAGGCCACAGGCCTCTCCACACCCCCGCCCTCCCCCACACACACACACCATTCAATCCAGAACAGCCCCCAGACCCTGTGCTGGAGAGGCAGTGACTTCACTCAGCCCTAATGTTGTTTTCCTGAGAGCAGCGTAACTGGGTCTCACAGGCAGATGGAGATCATTGTAACTATCCATACATACACTCATTTAACCACTCGCTCAGTCAGTCACTCAGAGTGACAGACACACACACACTCAGGCGAGAGAGAGAGAGACACACACTAATAGGATCAGATAGAGACGGACACGTAAACACCCCCACACACTGAAACAGAGACAAACACAAAAACACACACTCACAGAGACACACCCTCTCACACTCACACAAGAGACACACACACTCACATACACACACATACACTCACACACAGAGACACACTCTCACACACAGAGACACACTCACACACACAGAGACACACTCTCACACACAGAGACACACTCACACACACAGAGACACACTCTCACACACAGAGACACACTCACACACACACAGAAAGACACACACTCACACACACTCTCACACACACACAGAGACACACACACACACACACATAGAGACAAAGAGCTCATCTCAGTGAGGATCTTGGCGGTGTGCTTTCTGTCTCTTTCTCACCTGGTATCTAGTTTCTCCAGTAAAATCCTCCCCGCCGGCCTCTGTCCTGATTAGAAAGCAGGCCATGTCCGACCATCCTCAGCCAGACCCACGTCTCCAGCTCAGCGGAGGGAATGCTAGACGCTTGCATCACAGTCAACAGTTGATTCTCTCTCTCTCTCTCTACATCACTGCACAAATGCTTTTTTTCCCCCCTTCCTGATATGCTGCAGAATTGCGCTGCCTACACAGCGGGGGAGTGCAAGCTATGCAGGACACACAGTCAGATCAATACACACTCTGCGCGCATACAGTCTGCGCTCCTCCCAGCTCACTTGTTGTCTAAAATACATGCCTCCACCACTGCCCCCCTCAAATAGCCCCCAGGCTAGGGCCTGACTGACGGATTCTCGCAGTGTAAACAAAAGTCCGGCTTTGAATGGAGTCTCAGGACAAAGGCCGTCTCAGAGGCTCTGCTCTGACCGAGCGCTCCAGCTGGGACACTGGGGGAAAAGACACCTCTGCAAACAGTCACATTTCTCTCATAAGAAGCTTCATCGGGGTTTTATACACAAACACACACACACACAATGCCCCACAATATTCTTATGAAGCGATTGGAGATGTTATCCTGCATAAAATGTGTTATATAAGTGAGTTGTGCATCTACATGGTCACAAACAGTTTTACACTGTTATCGGTAGGGCCTCTGGGACGGTGTCTCTGGCTGGGAACTTGAGCAGGGAAATAGTGGAGGGGCAAACGGTGACAAACAGAAAGATCTTAAGTTGGGCAAATGCATGAAGAAACGCTGCTGAGAAAGCCTTCCATGCACTAACCCGGGACAAGTGTGAGAGTGATTGACAACCCTGTACTTGCAATAGTATGTATGGAAGTGTGAGCAAATCAGTGTGAAAGTAAGGGCACAAATGAGCATGAGGGCACAGGACACACTTGTTCATGTCACATTTTACAGAAGTCTTTTACACCATCGACGTACAACTACCCCACCCCCCACACACACACGTGGGAGAATGCCTGAAGTCTGCGATTCCTTCTGACCCTATCCGCCTTGTCCAACATCATGTTATGATACTGTACCACTTCCCGATTCCTCTCTGGAGGTTGGTGACCTCATCTCCCCTTCCGTGTGTGTACATGTGCCTTCTGACCCCTCTCCTCTGTTTGTCCGCGTGTGTGTGTGTCTCTCTCTGTTTCTCTATTCCTTGGGACGTCCTCCCGACGTGAAAGGCGCTCTATAAATGTAATTTTGTTGTTGTTGTTGTTGTTGTATTCCCCTCCTGTCTTTCTCCACTCCCCCACCACACAGACACATACACAGACTGTGGTTTGCAGTCTCATTGCAACATTGAATATGCTACAACATGAAACAGTTTGCATAAAAATAATCTTTGCGATTGATACATGTCTATAACATTAGTACATCTCAGTGCCTCCTAGAGAAATGCTGTATTTGTTTCATAAACAACCATGAAGTGAACCCAATTTGATTTGGAGGGTTATTGGTCAGGGCACCGGGAGAGAGAAACTCCCTTCTTATTGTCAGTAGCTTTACAGGAACTTTGACACCTAACTGAACAGGCACAGACAGTTTGGTTTTGCCCACAAAATATACAGTCAATTCATTTTATGGTGTATCCTGTGAAGCGCTTTGACGTCGCGATAAGGCGCTATGTCAAATGGAAGGATTATTATGGAAGGTCAGGCTGCATCTATGGAGAAAGGAAAGTGAGTCAATGGTTCGGGTCCACAAGCCTTCGTCAGAACGGTATAGTACAGAACGATAAAGGTTTGAGTTCTGAAGAAGGGTCGTGGACCCAAAACGTTGACTCACTTTCCTTTCTCCATAGATGCAGCCTGACCTGCTGAGGGTTCCCAGCGACTTCTGTTTTTGTTTTCAGATTTCCAGCCTCTGCAGTATTTTGTGTATGTTTTGGATTTTGGAAGGATTATTATTATTAATATCACTCAAAGGATGACACAGAATGCACTGCTCCCCCCTCCCCGGGATGTGCTGGAGTGTCAGCCTGGATGGTGGGTTCAGTCACGAGTTGGGAGGGGGGGACATGCGAGCAATGGTGCAGTGTGGATCGCGGGCTTTGTTGCAGGCCTGAAACCCGACCGGTCTGGATCAGAATGAATGGAGGGAATCAGCGGCAATACTGTGTACCCACCACTGGAGGAGCTCTCACCGTGCCGAGCTCCAAGGGCCTCTGGTGGCCAAGATGTAGAAGTGCAGCAACAGGAAGAGTGGCCCCAGTCAGTGACAGTCAAATCACTGGTCTTGGAACTTTGTGACTCAGTGTCATTCCCTCCCTCCCTCCCTCCCCTCTCCCTCCTACTCCCCATCCCCACCCCTGCTCGTGCCACTGACAATGCGGACTCAAGCTGTCAACCCACCCCACCAACCACTCACTCACCCAACTGGTGTTCATCATGCCAACAGTGAACATCAGCAAGCTATTCCAGTATTCCTGACCGATTCCCCCCTCCCCTTATAGATCAGTGACTCAGTACAGGGTGGGGAATGGAAGCTAAGATCAGTGACTTGGCACAGAGCGGGGATTGGAAGCTTAGTTTCCAGTGTGTATGGTTTAGTTCCGCACCAGCTGAACCATTGAAAATGTCCGGCCTGACACCTAGCAGACAGTTCAGAGTGAGTGACTTCACACAGAGAGCAGTGAATGTGCACAACGGATGACCCAGGCTGTGGTGGGCTGTGGATTGTGTCAGAAACTTCAAGAGGGAATGAGGTTGGTATTTGGCAAAGAATTCAATGGGGGAGTAAACATGAGTGGGATAGGCCTGGCTATTCGTGGACACTGTGATGATAATAATAATCCTTGCATTTGTATATAGCGCTTTATCATGTGTTCAATATATCTCAAAGCGCTTCACAGTGTAAAGTGAATTGACTATATTTTGTTGGTGAAATACAGCAGCCAATTGCACACAGCAGTGGCCCACAAACAGTCGTGGATTGAGTGCCAAATTTCTTTTAATTTGGAAGGGATTATTACCCACCGTAAAGCGATCTGCCAATCAACTAACACCCGGGATCCTACTCACTGCGAGATAAAAAGAGGGTGTGGAGTAAGGAAACTTGCCTAACGTTTTGCCCTGCATGGGAATCGAACCCCAGTCTTCTCACTTGTGAGGCGAGTGCTCTAACCACTGAGCTACAGTGATCTTTCTGTCCTGGACATTCCTGTGTTTCCAAAGGAAAAAGCTCTCCTCTCCCACATGCCCCAGTAGAGCTGAGGCTCAGTCAGCTCTGTGAACCCTACATCCACATCTGGACTGAATCCTCTGGATTCAAAGGTCAGAAACGTGAAACCCAGTTTTCTCAGATGCTGAGCAGCTGGAGATTGGATTCTGACTCTGAGTTTAGAAGGTTGAAGACTGATCTAATTGAGTTTTTAAAATAATAAAGGGATTCGATAAGGTAGCTACAGAGAAACTATTTCCTCTGGTGGGGGAATCCAGAACAAGAGGATCTTGATAAAATTAGAGCTAAGCCATTTAGGAGTGAAATCAGGAAACAGTTTTTCACCCAAAGAGGAGTAGAAATCTAGAATTCTCTCTCCCTCAAAAGGCAGTGGATGCTGGATCCATTCACATTGTCAAGACTGAGGTGGATAGATGTGTGTTAGGTCAGGGTATCAAAGGGCAAGGGCGAGTAATTAGAAACGTGGTACAGCCATGATCTTATAGAATGGCAGAAAAGGCTTGAAAAGGCCGATCCTCACTGGCTAGGCTTGCACACAGCGCCTCCTGCACCAAACACCAGCTCAGGGGGGAAAGTGTTGGGAGGGAACACAGGAAGCTCTCCCTGCAATGAATGCAGGCTCTGGGAGCCCCCACAGACTGCAGAGGGAGCTGGTGGCCAGAACACTCTCACCAGCAGCTTACTGTGATCACCGAGCATGACAGTGAGGAGCAGGAGCTGCAGTGAGTCACCGGCAAATGTCCTCAGTCACTGCAATCGCAGCCCTTCTCACAGATTAAAACATTCACCGTAAAACTCAGATTAGGGGATTCAGGAAGCCCCAGATTATTACTATCTGATAAATAAGCAATTTAAGGTATTTATTCATCGCTGATATTGCTGCCCCCCCCACCCCGGTCCAGAATTACCCAAAGCACAGAGCATACAGCAAGGCAGAGCATTGTATAAGGCACAGTACTGTAACTTCCACCAAAATGGCTTGGCCTATACTGATATAGTGACACAGCCTCTGTTTGTTCTCTCACTCTCATTGGAGACAAAACTCAGTCTAAACTAAGCTCACAGTCTGAACTGACGTTCCAACACAGTGCTGGGGGAAGAACTGCAGTTCGGAGGTGCCGTCCTTCGGATAACATGCTAAATCGAGGTGGGGGGCGCCTTAAAGATCTTGCGAAACTTTTTGAAAAGAATGGAGTTTCTCCTTCCCAGTGTCGTGCCCGACAATCCTTCAAATAAATTGGTCATTCACTTCCGGGCTGTTTGTGGGACATTGCTGTGCACAAATTGGCTGCCATGTTTGCCTACAAAACAGATAGTCACTACACTATCTGTTTTGTAGGCAATTCCATGTGAGAGCAATTCCATGTGAAGCACCCTGAGAGGTTTCAATATTTAGGCTTGAATTCAAATGCAAGGCTTATTTTAGGATAATAATAATCCTTGCATTTGATATAGAGCCTTATCATGTCTTTGAGACGTCTCAAAGCGCTTCATAAAGTGTAAAGTGTAGTGACTATATTTTGTGGGCAAAACACCTTTAACTATCAGTGCCCACAAAATCCACAGTCACTAGGATGGTTCTAAGTTCCACCATTGGGTCTGTGCTGTCAGCTGTGGTTGATGGGAAGACAAAGAGGTGTTGCAGTTGGGCTCACTGTGACAAAAACTTGCATTTATATTTGCATTCATGTGGGGTAGTGTCTCAGAGCATTTAACAATGGCGGAGTTTTAATCCTGAGAGGGGAGGGGGGTGACCGAAGGTACGGTCTAAGAGGAAGGTGTGATCTGAAGGCGGGCAAGCAGGAGTCCAGGTGGAGGAATTGAGGCAGCGAATTCCAGAGTTTCGGGGTATATTGGCTGAAAGCATGACACGCCAATGATAATAATCCTTGCATTTGATACAGCGCCTTTCACTTTGGGAGGGCGTCCCAAAGGGCTTCACAGGAATTACTGTGAAATGGAGTGTGTGTTTGTAGGTGAATGCGGCAGCCTAATTGCGCACAGCAACGTACCACAACAGCCATGAAATAAATGGATCAGTGCAATGAGATCCCTGCCCCACAGTGTAGATACAGCATGGTCAGTTGGATGAAATAAGAACGGGAGCCAGCAGCAGGAATGTTGTTATG